ATCAATACCAAAAAACTCAAAATTACATACCTACTAATATATTTCCAGTCGACTTAAGTCGTAGGGGTAAGCTAACTTTTCTAACTCCTTTTGGACATTTTAACTAAGATTTACCCATCTATTCAAGAAGACAGTTGCACCAAGCTGTTCACAAACAGTCAAAAACACAAGTAATGCGCATGGGATTATGCATTAAAGCTTAACAACACATTGACAGTGTAAAGAATGCCGTTTGATATTTATTTCTAATATAGCTAAAGCATTACTTGAAAAATATACGTTATTTTACAGTAGATTTACCTCATTTAAATGTGTGTGTCTATTTCACAAAAACCTGAAGCATTATTTTCAATATTTTATGCTTACGGTATCGTGGTTGTTTTCGCTGGTTGTCATTACTATGAGCAGTAATAGAGATCCGTTTCGGGAGGGAGCGAATGTTAAAATTTTTCTCAAAGTGGAAGTTTTGACAACCAAAATCCGCCATTACCGCCATGTTTTGACCACGAGGCCAGGCCCTTTTTCCTCCAGTTCTTATAGAGCTCAATGGTCACGATCCACAAAAGCTCTATTCTGGCAGTGGGCAATCAGATGAGATTTCAAGCTGACGTCACTAAAACTATATCTGAAGATATAGAAAGAATTATCGACGAACTTTGGGATTGTAACAATAATTTAAATGAAACGTGACAAGAAAATAAACAAAACTGGAAGAAAATGAAAATTCAAAACCAAAGGCGAAGTTGAAAAACTTTTATTGGAAGTAAGTTACGCCAAGCGTTCAAAACCGAAGGAATATCAGTGCATCTGTTTCCCAATGAAGAAAAAAAAGCCACAAAGACGAAAATTAATTTATATTTTGTGCGAAACATCGACCAGCTTTGAGGCTTCGTCTATTTCGTGTCTTTGTTCTGCAAATTTTGAGTATTCTTGTTTTGACCTTAAGTTGAGCGTGCAAGAAATACAAAACTCAAAGAAGATTAAAGAAGATGCTATCTTAACCGTTGATGTGGCTTTGATTCCTGAACCATCTAAGAAAGAGATGACCGATCGAAACAATCGAAGAAATATTTTTATCGGTATGGATGACATAAAATATATCTGTTTTTGAAGTCTTTTAGCAGTTAGGTTAAAGAGGAAAAGGCCTTTTTTCAAGCAATGATTCTCAGACTATAATTTACCAGTGATTATAAAGCAACACAAACATGACAAGTTTTGCAAAATGCATTGCATATTATATCAAAACGTCAAAAATTCTACTCGGCCACGGTAGTTTAACATACGGGAATCGATTTTGCCCCAAAAACGTACGCTATATTTTGGAATATAGATTATAATACGATGCACCACTCCTTCTATTAATTATTATCTCTATGTGTTTACTTCTGTTAATGAACTTCCATATCGATACACAGTTTGCATGAAAAACTAACCACAATATTGAAGATGTCGGATTTCAATAGATCCACACTTGAATGTATCGCATTAGGAGAAAAGACGATTAAACTATTAATCAGATCACCATTGAACATCTGATTATAGAAAAAACAAGCTGTAGTTGAAACTGATTGCAGACAATTCGACCCACGTACGTACAAGCCTTTGTAAATCGATCCAGAGGCCACGCAAATTCGATAGTGGGATGGGGTAATATTTATATATGTATGTTGTACTTTCGTAGTACTTATATTAAAATTAATTGTGGCTATGGGCTAACGAAGATTAAAAAATAAGAATACATAACTATTGCCCCCTCCCCCCAAATTATCAATTTCTTCAGAAACGGCACATCACAGAGACCAGTTGCATAATCTGATTTATGCACGAAGGCGAATTTACAGCAGCCAATTGCGTTTTCTGATATTTCTACAGTAACGTAGCCATAACACATTAAGCAAATTTCGAACGCGTATTACCTTTAGGCAAACTTATCGATCAGCTCTTTCTATGTCAGGATTAATCGCATTTAAAACTTTCCTCTACATATAGTGCTCCTTTGGTAGGTTTATAGATTCACAATGCTGAAATTGATCTCACATTCACATGAGGTGATTGGTAGTGCAAAGTGCAGAAAAGAATACATAAATATTTTCAAATCCTGAGAAAATGTTACATGCTTCAGTGTTTTGACGATGTTGTCTGGCAAAGGCCGATGATCGTTTCCCAGAGTATAAACGTCATTTTGCTTTAATTAACATTTTAACCAAGGGGTTAGGCAATTCAACATGATAGAATTGTTTTCCATAGTTTTGTTAAAAAATCTTTCGATGTGTTGTTTCCTTAGTAACGGCGGCGGTGGCTTCAAAATTTGTTTACTAAAAATACACAGTTGCTTGACCTAGTCTTATTTCGAGATCTGTGGAACGACAACAAACTTACTCGTGCCATTCCCTTACACGGTCAAACTTCGTACTCGTAGTCGTACTCTTGTTAAAGCTCGCTAATGTTATCCACCTCAACTTCGCTTCGGCGGATAACAGTGACCTCGGTCTAAATAACACTGGTCAACAGCAAATTTGGTGTCTCGGTTTTGTAAACTGATTTTGGACAATTTTGATGTGCTGAGTCCAAAAATAACACTATTTTTGCTGGGTCAGGTCGAGATTTTTAAGCTATCGTTAATTTTGTATTTTTTAACTTTTAAATACCCGAGAAAGGTACAACAGAAGTATTAACCATTTACCTTTTAAAGTTCTATTATCTGAACAAATTTAAATTTTTAGCACTAGCAATACAAAGAAAGCATTTGAATAAGCAATTATTGATTGAATTTCAATTAGGGAGTTAAGGTTTTGCGATTATTATGGGATATTAAAGATAAAATAAGGCTTTATTTAGCCCATACTGATTCAATGGTAAAACTTGTTAAAACACACCAACATATTAATGTAAGTAAAACTAATAAAAAGTAGAAATAATAAAAATAAGCCAGATGTTTTTGCTATGTTTGTGGTGAATACACCTTGCACAAATCGCAATACTGTCACCACCTTTATCAAGCGCGTTTACTATGCATATTTTGGCATGAAGCTCGGCGATCAAGACAAACGTTGGGCACCTCACATGGTTTGCAAAAGATGCACAGAGCATCTCCGTCAATGGAGCAAGGCACGCAAAGTCCATGAACTTTGGCATCCCCATGATTTGGCGAGAGCCTTAAATCATGCAACCGATGCTACTTTGTGCTATCAATGTCATGTGAATTAACAGAAAAAATCGCACAACACTGGAGTATCCCAATCTACCGTCAGCTATGCGCCCTACTCCTTATAGTGAAGAAATTCCCGTACTTGTATTTGAAGATACAAGTATTGAAGAAAGCAGTAGTAGCCAGGATGAAACTCAAAGCATTGCCACTACCGATGATGCATCCTTTCCCGATGACAATGATGAGCAGCCAAAATTGTTTTCCAAAACGAACTAAACGATCTTGTTCGTTGTTGCCAAAAGACTCTGCCGAACTTCTTGCATCTCGTTTAAAGGACAAGAACATGCTAAATGGTAAAGTTAAGGTAAGTTTCTTCCGTACCAGGCACCAGGAATTTTAAGATATTTTGCTCAAGAAAAGAATTAGTCTATCGCAATGACATAGTAGAGCTACTGAAACATCTCGATTACCTGAATACAAATCAGAGGACTGGCGACTTTTATTGACAGCAGCAAAAGGTCCTTGAAATGTGTGTTGTTACACAATGGAAATCAATTTGCATCTGTGCCATTGGCACATTCGACAACATTAAAGAACAGCATGAAGCAATTAAGTACGTCCTAGAAAAAATTTCTTATGACCAACATAAATGGCTGATTTGCGTTGACTTAAAAATGGTCAACTTCTTGCTTGGTCAACAGTCTGGATTTACCAAATACCCATACTTTTTATGCCTCTGGGATAGTAGGGATCGTACTCATCATTACGTGAAAAGAATGGCCAGTACGTGAAGAGCTTGCTAGTTGTAGAGCAAAAATGTGATAAACAAGCCTCTAGTTGACGGGACGTATTTTATTTCCTCCACTGCACATAAAGAGTTTTCTAAACTATGTTTTCAGTTTCGTGTAAAACCTTCCCCAATTTGTCAACTGAAAAATTAAAAGCTGGTATTGATCCCGAAAATCTTGGCTCTTTAAGCGATGAGCAAGGAGAGCGCTCACCATGACTTAAGAAAGGTGGGACATGGTGATGATGGCGGACTACTGTTGGAATTTAAAAAGAGATGTGCAAGCACCAAAACATTCGCGACAATCAAAAAAAACGAAAATTTAGACCGTAATAATGCAAACATTAAGTTTTCATTTTTAGTTACATGTACTGTACATGAAGTGTACATGATTCTTTCTTGGAATACTGCAATTTTATCATAAAAACTGACATTTTGTTTTGAAACATCTTGAAAACATGTAAATCTTGAAAACATTGTTTTAAAAAAATATAACTAAAGTCGCATAATTTTAAATTCAAATTTGCAAAAATTTGACCTCCGAAGCAAAATGAATGTTATTTCTAGATTTAGCATAGCAAAAATATAGTAAATCAGTCAAAAAATATCAGACACCTTTTAAAAAGTTTCTTTTTGTTGACCAGTGTAATTCTTGATATCAGCATAAACTCAGCCGAAATTGCTGATGGTTGATTGTAACAGGTGGAATAGTAGGATTTGGGCAGGTTATAAATGAGATGAGGTGTTTCCGAAACAACAATCATTGCATTCCTTTCTATTCTAGTGTACATTCTTTTCAAAAGGTAGCTAGGTAGCAACTTCATTGAAATTCCTGTTAGAGTTCTTGGTCAGCTTTTTTCTTTATCGGCCCTTACTTTTCAACGACAACAAGTAAGACAGAGTGTATTCAAGAACAAGCGGCTTGGAAATAGGGTGTTTATGTTTTAAATTTTTATCCATTAAGACATAAATACCATGACCGAAATTGCACAAGTCACATTTTAATTTTCATATCAACTCAACATCAATTCACCTTCAGTTATCGATGTTTTCTTTTTTTATTCCACTATAGTTAAATAATGGCGATGTTTAACAAACTCTTTGCTGTTGTTTTGCTTATGATGATCTCCGTTAGCTCAGGTTTGTGTTCAATGATCTATCGTTTAGTTTTTCCAGTGTAAATATGGTAAAGAATTAATTTGATGTTCGTGACTGTTTATACAGCCGACAGAAACATCTTTTGCGCTGACCACGTTCAATTTGTTTTCAATATTTGTTTTCCTTGAAAGTGACTTTGATCTGCTATTTCCTGATGTCAGCATAAACTGAGTAAAGTCTAGTCAAAATTGCAAATTGCGTTGTACTAATTAAAAACAATTTTGTTCGGTTCTTAAATGTAGTAAGATTGGTTGAATGCTCAAAACCCTACGTTTCCTTATATTTATAGGCGGGGCCAAACCAATGTTATGTGTGCGCTTACACTTCTATTTTCCAAAACAACTAAAGATGCTTTGGTTTAACAATTCCATGCTGGAGATTGCCTCTCGTTGAAATTCACTACTCATAACGGAACAGATGTCGTTATAAAGGGATGTGACGATTTATCAACTGATGGATTTTGTTCAAATGGTAGAATCCTTGCCAAAGATTGGCTGATAAATGGAATTTAAAATCGTGTACTGGTTCATGTTGTAAATCTGATCTCTGTAACAGAAGGAGCAAAACATACACCAGTGAAAGCATTTTGGGTTCTCTTTGTCATTGTCCTTGTTTTTCTTGTATTGAACACCAGTTTTGAATATACTTAGTATCGTGATTAACAATATTTGGCAACTTTTTGTATCTCAGTAATATGAAAGTTGTATTACAAATTTTCATTATGAATCTTGAAAGACATATTGTGTTAATAAATGAGTTAATTTCTTGTTGTTTAAATCAAATTCACACTTTCGTCTTATAAAGCTTTTCGAGACTAGAGTAAGAGTGACAAAAGAAATTCGACCTTGGAAAAAGGGAATTTGTTCGATGCCCCATATACTAGCCATAGTTTGGGTGTAAACAAATTTGGACAAATTTATTATGGTTTTGTTGTTTGTGATTTCAACTACAAAACAAGTTGGTGTTGTTGCTTTTGAAAAAGTTACTTGATCCCAGCTTTAATTCGCGGTGATGATTTCAAATCAATAAAGAATGTTTTTCATAACGATGATTATGTTGTGTCTTCATAATTCGAATTTTTAGCGCGTAAACCTTTTGTTATCTTATATTTAATAAAAGTATTAATCCATTCAATCCACATGACGTGAATTAAATATTCATTGTTACATCTATTCTTTTTCAAGACATCGCTAATCTGTAACGATAAGGCGGAAGAAAAGCATGTTGGAATAAACCACTTAAGGACTTAAGGGGAAATTTAATTTTTTATATTTTTAAAAAAAAAGGGAACATCGTTACGCTTATTACAAGTTCGGACATTTTAGATGCGAGAAACTATTAAAACGCTGAAGCAGATAAGCATTAAAATTGCATTTTTTTCTTCACATTGGCTATTCTTGCTGGAGCAGTACACCGAAAGTCATTTCGAACATTGTACTGGAAAATTGGTACTTGATTGTGCAACAAAGCAAAGATCGTAAAAAAGCCTACGCGCGAAATGCTTCTTTGGAGTTATTGTTATTTTTATAATAACACGATATGAGCCAATAAATTAATTACGGAACTGCAGCACGAATAGCAAAAGCACAGGCGTACAGGAGCTATCATTTCTGGGGGAGGGCGTAATTATTTATAACAATTCACAATGAAGATTCCGCCATATTTTCGATGTCTATGAGCGAAAGTACTGTCGGTGTATTCAAATTGAAGATAGTGTGAATTAAGTTTTACGACGACACTGTGTACAAAATAGCGTTGCTGAAAATAAGAATTATCATCACTAATCATTTAGGATGCTGTGCCTCCATATATTGGTGTTTTAAAAAAAACTTTATCAAAATTCTTATAAATTGACACACAAACATGGCAGCCATGACGTCAGATTAATGTACAGAAATGCATGATTGCGATGCGTACATAGAAGAAATGTACACATTTGTATCATTATGTATACTGTATAATTACAGAAATGTATCGCTTTGTATTCTGAAAAAACGTACACTTATGTATCATTGTGTACATTATAGAAATGTATGATTCAAAGATCACTTGTGGATTGCTGTATATGTTACGAGTTTCGTAATATTTGACCGCAAGTTTTACAGTAAGGTAACTCACACGAAAGATTTTTCGACATTCTGTCGTTATTTAATGTACAGAAATGCGTTTTTCAAAGAAGAATTGTGAAATGGCAAAAGCAACAATTCCTAAATATTTGCTTATGCGCAACTCCAAACCTGTTCGTGCCTATTCATTTCTGCGCAGTTTCATAGTTCAAAAGATATAAAAAAATATGAATTATGGCTTATCTCTGATGAAATTTCTTGGATTTATCCTTGGTAATCCAATAAAAGTTGGCAAGGTTGGAATTGAGCTTCGCCAACTTCCGATTGAAACTGTCGCATCTTATTGACAAGATTGTCGGCGCCGTACGTATCAACGAAACGGAAAGGACCTAACAAAGTTCACGGATTTAGGTTTGATTAAGGATTTGAGTAAGGATTAGGGATTAAGTTTAGGATTACGTTTAGGATTACGTTTAGGATTAAGAATGACAACAAGAGGCTAAGGTTAAGACGAAACTCCTAAAACAGAACATGGTGAACCATTTTTCAAATTCCGAACATCACCCTCTCTCTATATTTGTACACAAATGTACTAGGTTTCTTCAATTAGCATACCTCGCAGTCTTAAAACTACAGAAAAACTTAAATAAACTTTAATAATCAATAATAATGCTCACTAGATGATTACTAATGTCTGTTATCTTGGCCAGTTTATATAAATCAATAGACAAGCATATTGTTTTAGTATGTACAGGTAGTATGGTTAGTCAGTGAACAGAAACTTGAATCTAAAAGGTAATTCGTAAAAAACAATATTTTACCTCCCTCCCTCCTGCACACAAATGCACGCATTGATCATAAGTCCTTCCCCAACGTTCTTTGCATGTGTACCAAATGAACGAGCCAGATGAGTTTCATAGTTATAAAAGTAAAATTGTAAAATGTCAAAGATAGTGTTTAACATATATCACTACTTTTTAATTTCAACAAGACGCCTAGCAGACGTTTTGTAACCTCACATATGGCAATATATTATGAAAGTAAGCCATGATCCATGAGAGAGAGAGAGTTTGATTGGTTTAGCGACTTCGTGTCGGTCACGCGTGTTTTATATAATCTCGTGATAAAACGAAAATCCGAATTTTAAAAGCGGGCTGACTTTTTGTAGCCCCCGAGCAAAAAGTCGTCAAACAGCTTTCACAGACTAGCAAATATTTGAGAAAAAAAAACACAACTTTACCTCCGAGGAAAGGGGGAAAACCCAAGCCAAAAACAGCTCCTATATCGCCATCAACCTAACACAAAAACAAAACAAAAGTCTGAAAACAAAAAAGGCAAACAAATACATTTAAGGTGATCCATAGAAAGACCAATCCTAATCATGCTGCTGAACTTCATACTAACTGGACTGTTAAGAATGCCTTCTTGCAACGTCAACAGAGCCTCGTTAGTAAATCTTGCAGCGAGACGCATTTGTATATCCTCTGGACTATGACTACAAAATATAGGAGAGTATTTTTGTAAGTATTCAGCAAAACACAGAAGAAAATTGATACATGATACAAGACCAGGCAGCTTCAAAACTCGTCTGTTAGCACATTCGAGTTGTCCTATTGCAACACCAACCTTCCCCTTTTATCTACAGCATATTTCTTGAGGATATCCATAGCCCCACTGTTTATCTAAGATAAATAAAAAACACAAAAACCTACAACACAACGAGGTAATGAAATGATGAGAACGATACGCGTCACTACTCATATAAGTCAGGGGTCTGATTTTATCCTTTTCTTGCTGTCCTTATTTTACCATTTTCTAGTGGCCCCTATTTTATCGGTTTTTGTCTCGCTTCTAATTTCTTGTTTTCTCGTCCTCACATTGTACCGGGTTTTTTTGTCACACACATTTTACCGTTTGTTTGCCTTCCCCATTCATCATACCGTTTTCTTTCCTTTTCCATCTGGGTAAATGAAAAATCCTTTGCCACTTTTGCGTCCTGTAAACGATTACAACGAACCTTGAAAAGCTGATAACTTTTGTATAAACTATCAATTGTCGAGACATGCTTAGTAACAGATTAAAACACTCGTTAATCAACTTTTCGCGAAAGCAAACTTTCTGTTAACTACATATTTCAAGAGTGTCAAAAACACACGAAGAAGGTGGGAATGCGTGGGCCTAGGTTGCTGGGTTTAATAAGACATGAAAGAAATGGCTATGTCGGCGGTAAATTTCCATGGACTTCATATAACCATCTCTATTTCAATTATATTAGTGGATACGAGTTTTCTTATTGCTATCGCTAACGCTATATGTATTAAAACACGTTCAATCGGATTTTTTCGAAGATAAGCCCATGGTAATTTGATTTAAAAATAAGGTACGGTTTCAATTCACTTTAACTATCCCGGCTAATTATAACAGTCTCTCTAACTCTACTGTGGCGTGTCACTTTGGAAAACTCAAATGAGCCTCGGCTAGTGATAGGCTAGCAAAAAAATCGCTCATACTCTTTTATGGCAGGCCACTTCAAAGAAGCTCAATCCAAGCCTCAGCTAGGTAGTCTAACGTTAACAGTCTATAATCCTTCTGTGCAATTCCACTTTAATAGAGGTTCAATAGAACATCGGCTAAATTGACCAATGAAAATATTCTCATGGCAAAAATTCATCTTTACTAACCGAGGAAGCCTTCTTCCACCATCGTTTTTAAAACACCAATATTTCCACCGCGGAATCTAAATAAATAAAAAATTAAATTAAACCTGGGCAAATCACGTGCATCCATGGGCAAAACGTCCGAATTGTTGCGTCATTATCCTTTTCCTTGATAGATGATGTATATACCAACACTACAAAACCTTTCCAGACTGTCTTTTTACCTATCGCCAAATGCATTTCTAAATCTTCTGCGACATGAGTAGCGACATCGATGCCAACCTTAAAAAAACAACGACAAACAATGGTTTATACATATCATTATATGAGCTACGTCTATGATCTGACTTTCGACGGTATTTTCACAACCAAACATCTCAAATACAGGTCCGATTTGAGCGAAGCAAATAAAAGCAAAAACATTAATTTTGTAAGCTAAGGTGCTTGAGACAACATCTGTATTTGTACTGGCTTAAAATAATAGCTTGAACAACAGCTTGAACTTAAAAGAAATGTTATAATTATTCAAACAGAAAAACTTGCAACGCAATCTTGGGACTTTCTCGGGAAATGGCGGCCGTACCGTCATCTTGTTAATTACGTAATCAAAATGCCAACTGCTAACAAGTGTAATATTTAAGAGGATTTTCATAATGGATGCATTCAAGAATGGTGATCAGTTTCTACCACAATTCCTCGCATCAATATCAACTAGATCTGTTGAATGGCACGAAACTAATAAATATTGACACTAACTTCGTCAGCAAGCGTTGCCGACCCGACTGGGAATCCAAAGCTTTTTGTCAGTTTATCCAGCTGTTCGGGACTAATCCCTTCCTAGAAATCGGTAATAAGAAGAACAAGCTAGCACAAGAACAAAAATTTTTGTCAAGCAACAAAAGTCAAGATAGTAGTTTCGTACTTGTAACAAAGCTATAACTTCAGCCATTGTTGGTGCAAGAATTCTCGTCGTATAAAAGCCCGGACCGTCCTACGATAAGAAACTCATCATTAAATACAACTAAAGCATGTTCGTGTTAGTTTATCGTAAGACAAATAAACTATGAAGGCGCCTGAAATTACGTAGCAATAGAATTTGTAATGAAGGAAAAAAGGAGAAAAAAACCAAAAATTTAAAACGTTGAATTACTGTTAAAAGGAGTCACCGGTACATATATCATACACTTGTGTACATATCATACACTTAACGCAATGTACACAATAATACACTTGTGCACATTAGCATTCGTATTGCTTTAAATAAAACACCATAAAAAATAATTGAATTTCGAAAACAACCACTAGTCTTTTTTTCAAATATAGGGGAGTGCTCAAGTCTGGATTAGATTTAGATAGCTACTGATTGCCGTAGCATGTAAGACTTTTTTCTTGAATTTCTCTTATCTTTTTATCATGATTGAAAGATTTTGTGGAGGAGTGTTCCATGAAACACTAATCACAATTGTTTTTGCTTAATTGCTTGTTATATTAGTACTACGCAGAGAAATTATCATCTCTCCTGCATCCCCCGGCTTAGACTAGGAAGATGCACTCACCTCCACTAAATCTATCCCTGGTGGTATTTAGCTATGTACATACATATATATGAGTAACGGAGGTATTTCTCACCTTGACAACAATAACAGTCTTTCCTTGTTTAAGACCCACATCAACTGCAATAGCTGCAAAGAGAAAATCGAAGACAGTTGAAATACTTTGCAATACAAGTCAAATCAGAATAGAACAAAACAGACAGGCGAGAATGTAAACAGTTAGCGGTAGCTACCTGCAGTTTCTTTGGAAGTTTTGTCGGTCGTAATTATTTCTAATAAAGGCATTTTCTCCACTGGTGAAAAGTAATGCATTCCAATAACCTGTAGAAGGGTGATAATGAGAGGTAAAAATAACGTTAAAAACGTTAATGTTGAAAACGGAAGAATTTTAATGAAAACGGTAGCATTCAATGCTAAAAGTGGGCTAATATTGTTGAAAACAACAGATTTAACGATGAAAACAAGACATATAATTGATAATAACGAGAAAGTTAATGCTAAAAAACGGAAAATTATGGTTGAAAACGATGAATTAAACATAAACAAAAAACATCTAGTTCATCAAGATGAATTTGATGCTAAGAACGAAATGTTATTGTTGAAGATGAATTATGTTAAGAAAAGTGACTGTCAAAAAGATGAATTTACTATATGGAAAGCTCAGAACAACCTTTCAACAGAAGATAACTTTGACAGTCTACAGGAAAACTTCAGGGACGTTTGCTGGCTTCGGCAATCTAAAGAAAGAGAACATGAAATTTAAAACTAAAATAACAGAATTTCTAGATCTTGCGCAGTAGTTTTTTTCTTTTTACCTACTTATACAGACCATCACCAAAGATCGCATTGCATGAGCGTGAAACCCTAACTTTGGATTTTAGTAATATACGTACATACTTTGAAAGAGTGCATTTGGTACTTAACGCCAATCAAATAAATCTGATTTAACAATAGCATGACAATCTATTTATCCAAATGAAAAAGAAAACCTACATTTACAACAAACTAATTTTTTCACTAAATTTTTGTAAGCGTGCAGAGAAGCAAGAGCTTTGTATGTAAATGGAGTGACGCAGAAATTCGACAACTCAATAGAAGATTTATTTTATGCATAATAAGTGAGGTACACATGATTTTTTGTACCTTGTGTATGGGTAGAGCCGACGTATTTGAAGCAAAAACACAATCCTCTGGTATAACCTAGAGAATTCAAATGCATATAACAAATCACAAGTGTGTAGTTGTATTGAAGTACTATAAAATAAAAACAATAAAACGCGTGCAGTGAGTGGTCTATAACCGTGTTTGCATTAGCCAGTGCAATAACAGAGTCGAGCTCAACCAATCAAATCAATCAAACAATCAATCAGTCAAAGAGAATTTGCAAATCTATCATGAATGCATTTTAGAGGAAAAGATAAAACGTTTGTTTTAACTTTGTCTGTTTCATTGTTGCTATTTTATAAAAAATAGAAGATGTTTTCGTGATGGCACTGGCTTATGCAAACCTCAGAGACGTTTGTGAGGTGCAACCCTTGAACTTCGGTTTGGGGCTTGCACTGATCAACTCTCGAGTTCTCCATAAGGTCTCCTCGATTTGCATAAGCCTGTACAAACACAGTAAACATCTCTTATTTCTTAAATTTCAGATGTTCTGAGTGGTGCGAACCTGCTCTATTTCTTTAATTACTTTGTGTTTGATATTGAGATCTTCAAAGACAGCTTCGATAACAACATCAGCTTTATCAAAACCCTAAACAGTAAGCATGGAAAACAATGAAAAGTTGAAAATAGCATATGTCGCTTTCTCACTGCACGATAATGACCTCCAACATACTCAAGATATCTAACCACTGAACTAAAATATAAGCTGGAAAGCTAACTGACCGCCATCTTTGAAGCAAAAATGACGTAGGTTTTCTGATTTTTAGAAGTTCCGTATTATTTGAAAAAAAATAACGATATCTTTCATAATACAACAGCACAATTTGTCATGATAAGTTTCACCAAAAGAGATTTAGTAATAAATCGATAAACTCATGTATATAAAGGCATCTGAGCTGGCTTAAAAATGGAATTCACACCTAGTATTGGAGTTAGCATTCCAGTTTATTTAACAGATCGCCAGAGCTACACCCTCTTTCCTAACTTCTCACTGACACCTTCCACTTTCTCTTTGCTTTCACTTTAGCTCCCTCCCCACTCTATCCAAAATTTTCATTTTTACTTTTATGTCTAAAATTCCACGAACCCTCTAAAACATCCTCTATCCCTAGCAACAGCTCGTTCCGTACCATCTCTCTCTCTCTCGATCCACAATACCTTATAGTCCAGTTGAGCATAAAGATCAGACATCATCCTATCACGTTCGGCACTGATAAATAAAAACACCCCAACTTTTTAAAAATTTCCTCGTCATTTAACTCAAAAAATTCCAAATTTGAGTAAACAATTAGTCTTAGGGACGGGGCGGGTGGCTGAATGGTTAATTGCGTGAGTTGCAAGCCAGACGGCGCGGGTTCAATCCCGGCTCGTGGCACATCTGGCAATGTGTCTGTAAACCTAGCCCAGGTTGACCAAAGCCATGTGAGGGAAATTTGGTAGAGGAAACTATGTCCTCGGATGGACTGTATCTGCATCTGCAATGTTGCAGCCTTGTCACAAATGTGTCACGCTGATATCAGCGTTGTAGTTGCGTGAAAGGTACGAGTGATTGTAGTCTGGTCAGCTGCCTTCACTATAATTTAAGTAACCAAGATGTTCCACTTCGTGGAACCCTCATATGTCGAAATCGACGGAGTCCATTATAACACCATAAAACGTACCTTGACATCGACCTTCTTTTACTTTTGTGCTAAGCTAAAAAGTGGAATATTCATTAGAATATGTCAGCGATTGGACGGATACGACTTTATCGAAAACCGGATATTACCGAATGATGGTAATACACATAATAAATAGTAATTGGTAAAGTTTAACATTAGTAAAATGGATAGCAAGGGTAGTGACTTCATAGGTCAAAGTTTTATCTTAGTGGGTTTTTTGGGCCTAGATGTGGATGACTTCACGCCGGAAGTGACGTAAAAAGGAGAAAACGCAGTTCCACTTTTCCAACATTTTCTTTGGTTAGTCGCTCAAACGATGTCGTCAAACTCTACACCTGTAAATCTGTAGTGCGTTATTTTAGGAAGATTTTATAAAACAGCCTTATTAAATTTCATGAGATCTATATCTGAAACGCATGTGTTCTCCTTTTACGTCATATCCGGTAGGGAGTCACCAACTTGTCCTTCTACGCCACAAAAACCAAGGGAAAAAATTTTTCAACTTATACAATATATAGCAAATCTTCTTAAATTCGATTTAACTATTTAAAATTTTTCACTCAAACCCTCATAGAGGCACTTTGAGCTAGATGTTCTGCAGTACACCGGCAGTCGGTTTTATGCTTCCTCATAATGGCCGGAAAAAAGCTGTGACGTCATGTACAAACACAGTTTTTGTCATGATTCCGGCTACTATTGGATACCGTAATCTTAATGATAACGGAATCCGTTATCTGCATCAGGCAAAACATGGACTTCGATAGGTACATACTCTTTATATATTTGATCTTGTCCTCTTATAAGACCTTGCTGAAAGTTATCCTTCAGGATGACAGTGTAGCCTTTCTGCAAGCTTACCTGTTGGAAAATAGTTCAAAAAAGATCAAAAAAGTTCTAAATCAATAAAGAGTTTTAAAAATAATTAAAAAACGGATTGTATGTATTTAGTATGATACAATTAGATTTTATATATACGTAAATACAGAATTATTCTAAGATATATTTTTACTCTATATCCTTTGCTGTGTCTATAGTTAACATGCACTGCTTATTGGAAGATCACTTTATATTCTTTTGTAATATTGGCAACTTTAGTGAAGTAGTACCGCAGGTGAATAAAATCGTTAAAATTATTTTAAAAATAGTAAAATGATATTTCAAAGTCTACGGCAAAGGTTGAAGTTACATTACTTAAAAGAGAAGTGCTTCGTCATTGTGGACTACTGCTAAATAGTAGTCTCCGAAAGCTTATCTCTTTTGCGCATGTATAAACTGGAAAACTCCAGCTTATATGTTTCAATTTAAGTTTAGAGTAAACAAGATAGCGTGCTGCATGTCCATCATGGCCATGGTTTGCTAGCTATCAAAAAGGTTTGAACAACAAGAATAAAGCAATTTAAATATTTTATGACTACGTTTGACAGTGAGAAATGAGAAAAAAGCCATGCGGTACATACGTAACTACAAAACAGTGAAGCCGAGAAATCTCCGGATGTATTCTGATTTTAGCAGACTGTAAACAATTATGCGCAGAAAAAATGCGCACGCTGTTACACTGTTCCTTAATACACATCGCGTTTGGAGATCAAATGGCACAAAACTTATTGTCTACTTAATAACTCATGAATTGTTTTATTCATGGCTTCCAAAACCTTTTTTGAGTCATAGGTAAGTAATGGTCAGCGGAACTGATAATTCTACTAAATTTGATACAACTCACATTTCCAATGCCAGCGCCCATAAGACCAGCACCAAGAACAGCCACAGTTCTGTAAAAGAATACGTAGACACACAAGATACATACTATATTTGAACCTGGTTTGTATAGGTAGCTTAACTACTGCGTGTATAATACATAGGCATTCATTGATAAATATCTCAGAGAGAACGTTTTCAAACCTGGCTTTTATCGCCAGAACATCTCTTAAATCAGGCGCCCCTTTAAGGTTGGCGGGTCAAAGAAAGACACCCCCCCTTACCTAATTCCCACCTTCCTTAAGTAAAGGTTAGAATGGTGATGAAGAAATTTACTTCATGAAAATTAAGAAAACTTACTTTATGTCCTTTTTAGGTTTGCCAAACCTGTTCTTTTTACACTCAGTCTGTTGGAAAAATGAAATATGCTTTTTGAAGTGGATGTGTACTAAATAAAAAACTTAAATCTCGACTGTAGCTAAGTAAAAACCTGTGAATAAAGCTCATTGTCATTGTAATGTTGACATAAATGTTGAGATGCGTTTAGACAAAACCGCAAGATAAACGCCAGGAGAGAGCTATATATTTCTGTCTGTTTCAAAATACACAGAAGCAACAAAGGGTAACCCGTTTATCCATACTAATTCCTCCTCATATGCAACAAAGGAGCAATACGGAAAAGAAAAGTGGCCAGCGTTGTCCCCAGTAATACATCAAAAATGCTTTTCTAATGCAATGTTGTAGACAATGATGTACAGACCTGTCCAAAAAACAATGACATCAATGCTTTGGCTTCTTTTGATTCACCAAGTTCACCAAAACCCTAAAAATTTCACATAAAAACTACATAAAATCACATAACATCACATAATGTCCCACATTTTTGGTCCAAGCGGATATAGGATACGCTAAAATAAATTCCTCCTTGTCATTGTTGAATGTATATCTAAATTTTCAGACATCTTAGAGGCAGTTCAATTAGTAAAATTTAATTCTTTAGAAATTCCATAACCAATAGTTTTGTTTTGAACGTATTGTGAATTTAAATTTGAGGAAATATGTTTCATTTTGACTGACAATGGATCCGCCATCGATTGTACGTTCAACACGAAAAAAACGGAAAAGAATACGTCGAGATGCAAACTTTCTACATCCATCTATATACCTCTGCTTCAGCTTGGTATCCCTCAATACCACCTTTCTCCACTCCCACTTTTACAACCTGTAGACAATGAAAGCAACATTTTTATCATAAAAAAGATAGATGTCACTAGTAATGTATCTGCCTCATGATGAAAGCAACATTTTTTAATGAAAACATAGATTAATGCATTTCCATTAGTCATTGACATTACAACTATTATCATCAGTAATGTCATCATAGACACCATCAACCCTGCACATCAGTGATATCATTATAAATGACGTTAATGATTCTCGTTATAAGTAATGCCATCATGTGACGTCATCTATCCTGGTCATTTGTAATATGAACATCAATATGGTCATCAGTAACGTCATCATTAACAACATCAATCAAAGCCATTATGAGCAACGCATTTAATCATTGTGAATGGTTACGTCATAAAACAGTAACGTCATCGACAACGTCATCAGTTCTGTACAATAAATATTGATCGCACAACATTGGTTCTTAGAACTCACATCAAGAATCTTTAGAGGAGCCGGATATAATCCGAGCGACTTCTTCATTACCTAAAAATTCAAAATAAAAGTTCTAACATGACACATAAAATTAACAAACAAATAAACTTTTTCTTTTTATGCCATTTTTTCATTTATCTGTCGATGGAAATCCATGTACCGTTTCGCGAGCTTTCTTGAAAACATAGTTCTGTCCAAACGAGGTTTCCGTCGTAATTTTGTACATAAGACCTGAATAAAATAATGGTAGACGTTGAGCTATTCATGTCGTCAAACTGTATCATACACTTTCTCAGTCCAAAGTTACAATTTCCATAGAAATATCAATTTATTTGTGTGGAAGATAAACGTATATCCATGAATGGGCAATGTATTTCTAAGAATAAAGTGAATGGTTTGAACCCAGGAGTATCGTTACATTACATGTTTGTAGAAGTAGATCGTTCAGGTTAGTAGAGTATTAAGAAGGACTGTTGTTGTTGACGTTGACTGACGTTTCGAAAACCTCAGCGGTAGTCAAAACCTTGGGTAACCAACCGGTTTATTTATTCAGGCTATTCAATTTTTTCCCAGTTCACTCAATGTACAAACAATAAATTACTAAAGAAATAATGCTGAAAATATGAAAAAAAAACTTGAGGGTTAACAACGCTACTAAACAAAGTAGTGTTAAGTATTACTACCTGACATATTAGTCCACTTTCGTGATCTATCTACTTTTAATTTTTTACTCGCCAAGTCCCTATTAAATAAAATATAAGGTTGACATAAGTATTAACGTATCATATTGGTGTCCCAGGCAATTCACCCCCTTCCCCTGACGTGAGTTTAAAGGCCTGAGTGCGTACATAGAAGTGGACAATAATATTTTACAGAGGTACTTACTTCGCCACTTCAATCGACGTTTCTTCCAGATATCTCAACGTATTGAGCGTAGGCTCAGTAAGACCAGGACCTATCATACGTTATGCAACCATATATCGGTAAATAAGTCAACAGATGAAAATGAAATGTTCTTTATAATGCAAAATAATGAGACAAGAGGTAGGTTTAGTTGTAGAAGCTGTATGATGCAGACTAAGTTATGCAGACTGAGTGAAAGAAGCTGCATGATGCAGACTAAGTTATACAGACTGAATGAATGAAGCTGCATGATGCAGACTAAGTTATACAGACCGAATGAATGAAGCTGTATGATGCAGACTAAGTTATACAGACTGAATGAATGAAGCTGTATGATGCAGACTAAGTTATACAGACTGAATGAATGAAGCTGTATGATGCAGACTAAGTTATACAGACTGAATGAATGAAGCTGTATGATGCAGACTAAGTTATACAGACTGAATGAATGAAGCTGTATGATGCAGACTAAGTTATACAGACTGAATGAATGAAGCTGTATGATGCAGACTAAGTTATACAGACAGAATGAATGAAGCTGTATGATGCAGACTAAGTTATACAGACTGAATGAATGAAGCTGTATATGACGTGGAGTACGATTTTATTGTTTGACCTCGCCAAGGATGCAAAGTAGTAGAACATGCAATGAAATGTCCAAATGAATACATTCACACGGGTCAAATTAAATAGCAAAAGTGTAAAGTAAGAACAACAACACAGGACAAGGAAACAACAACCTACAGAAACAACACAGAAAACGGAATTGAAAACTGTTACCTAAAGGATTCACCAGCAAATCGACAAGACCCATCTTTTTTGCTTTTTCCGCGCGTATATTTTTCCCAGTCAACATCATGTCCAAAGAGTCGGGTAAACCAACCTTTGTAATACAAATACAAAGATGGTTGTAACATTACGTACATAAGAATGAGTATTGAGCAGGGACAGCTTTTCTAAGCGTCATTGACGTGAAATGGCATTTAGACAAAATAGATATCACTCTCGTTTGTTTTTGAGAAAGCGATGAGCCATTCTCTTGTGTCAATTAAATTCGCAAATAATCATAGTTTGCCAACCACCTTTTCTTACAAACAAAATGCTTGTCACGAGGAAAATTCAACGATTTGAAAAACTCACAGGTCGTATCTATATTTTACCAAGCCCTGCTCGCCACTCTTTGGGTCACAACTACCTAACAAACTTCACTGATAGTGATTTTAAAACTCAAAAATTAAATAAACTCCCAAGTGTTGAAAATCGTTCGGTTATTTTACTATTAAATGTCACCACTAGTAATCCCACCTAGCAGTGGTCATTCAACAATGGTAAGAGCTTACACGTGTTGATAGTTCTCTATCAAGTATTCGTGTGGTAGCCCCTAACGCCTAAACATCCACAGGGCAATTCTCTGAAATTGAGCCTGCATGGAAACATTGTAAAACTAGTTGTTTGATGTTAAATGCACATATATTTTATTTAATAGACGCACGTCTATTTAAGTTTAAATTAGCATTAACGACACTAGTATTTTCCGTATTTTTTATAACTTTGTCAAATCAAAGTTTATCAAGATTAGCAGTGGTAAAAAAGGACTTAGGAAATATCAATTGTTGTGGGTAATACACATGTGACACAGCACATTTGCATATGTACCTCGGTGAAGAACGATGAAAGACTTTCACGGTATACATATGTTTTTAATATAAGGTGCCTAAAGACGCAAATTATACTTTGTAAAATCTTAATTATTGTAAACGCTAAGAACCAAGAATAAGAAAAGAACTACAAAGTGGGTGTGAGTATCGTAAACATGACTGGAGAATCGATCCACATTCAAGAATGTTGATTTTAAATGAGCTCACATCCGCTGATAATCATAAGGTAGCCCAATTATCATATCTCCCCCTTGGTAACCCTTACCAACCTATAATCATGAATGGTACCTTACAATAAACCTACCAATTTTGGTAATCGTTGGGTGCCACCTGCACCAGGCAAAAGCCCTAACATAACCTCCGGTTGTCCAAGCATTGTTTTTGAATCTTTTACAGCGACTCTATAGTCACAACCAAGTGCCACCTCGAGACCACCACCAAGACATGAGCCCATAATGGCTGCAACTATTGGCTTGGGGCAATCCTGGAAGTAATATACAAGTAAGTAGTTAAATTATCGCTTTAAAAAGAGTTTGTTTTTAATTTACCTCAAGTCTTTGTAGCACAGCCTGTCCACGAGAAGATAAGTCTGATATCTGTAACATCACGAAACAAATTGTTTTATTAAGTCTTTTTCTTGAGCAATAACGAAGAAAAATGGGTTTTAAAGAGTTCTTATGTAGAAACTTGGTTCATATATACTCCAGCCCAGTGTCTTCGTCAGGAGTGATCTGATGTTCAAACTTGAGTTCGTATATACTCTAGTCTAGTGTTTTCATCAGGAGTGATCTGATGTTGAAACTTCAGTTCTTATATACTTTAGTCTAGTGTCTTCATCGGGAGTGATCCGATGTTGAAACTTCAGTTCTTGTATACTCCAGACTTGTGTCTTTATCAGAAGTAATCTGATGTTGAAACTTTAGTCCTTATATACTCCCGTTTAGTGCTTTCATCAGAAGTAATCTGATGTTGAAACTTTAGTCCTTATATACTCTAGTCTAGTGTCTTCATCAGGAGTGATCTGATGTTGAAACTTTAGTTTTTATATACTCCAGTCTAATGTTTTCACCAGGGGTGATCTGATGTTGAAACTTGAGTCCTTATGAACAGCAGTTAATGTAATTTACTGATTTTCAACATGTCTTCGTGCAGTCATAACCAATGTATTTTTGCATTCAAATCATTTATAATACCTTTTCAGCTGTGCCTGCAGCACTCAACATGCTGAAAAAATGAAAAATAAAAATTAGCATCAACAATGAAATACAGCAAATCCCATATAAACAGGCAGTAGAAGACATGATACACAACATAAATTTAAATAATGATATACATACTTAATATCAGCACCAGCAATAAAACATCCAGGTTTAGCAGATATCAGCACAGCACTGGTGATGCTCGGATCATCAATTATACGATTGAAAATCTAAAATGCACAATGAAACATAAAGATCCCATCGAAATGTTCGACGATGTTTCAAAAACATGACTACACACGAAGATGTCAAAATTTGCTACTTAAAAGAAAACATGATGTAAAGATTATTTAATATAATAAAATAACAATAATAAAACGCATGCGCTGATTCGTTTATAGCTGTGCAAACCAATCTGAGCTCTGTCATCTAAATCAATCATTGTAGCTAAATCTTACTAGCAGTAGCAAAGCCAGCCCGTTTTCAACACTTACGATGCAAATATTTTTGTGCTCAATCACTGGAAAAACAATGAATGGAATTAACTTTCTAAAGAAATTAGTAATGATTTTGGTGAAAAATTGCATTGTAGAAGCAAAAGATTTAGGTTGGCTTCGCCACCGCACAGTCTCGAGCAGGTGCAACTGATCAGCTCTCAAATTCTCCTAGGTTTGCAATAGCTTGTTCGCAGCCCGAATTTCCTTACTTAATGACGGTAAATTCGATCCGCTGAAATTTAAACCTAACAGTGTACCGTGACGTACGCTATTCGCAAGGAAATAAGGAGCTACTTGTGATTGGATAATCCATACATAAAAAATAAGACTGGTATGATTGGTTCACACATTAACATATTCTCGAATTAATTTTTCTGATTTACAAGTTATTTCTTGGTAAACAAATGAAAATGGCGAGTTGCTGTCTTCGCTGCGATTTATGTTCAAAATCGTTTCTGGGAGTCTACTTTGTGCGATGTTGCTATGTTCTACGTTCAGAATAAGAAAATTTTATCCCAATGCTAAAAGCTGGCTAACATGTTTACGTTAACTTGCCGACTTCGTATGGAAAGTCTCTGACTCTCTGATTTTCCAAGCAGTGCCCTTGGTTGACATACATAGTTAAAAAAAAGAACTAAAAGCACGAGTATTTTGGTCATAACTTCGTCTTAAAAAAAGCATAAAATACAAAAACAATTCCAAACTGAATCGAAAGTATTTCTGTCTTCTATTATGCACATCAACATTAATTGGATAACTGTTATAATAATTTTGGATTCAAGTCGTTTATTCAATTGACTGTTGCGAATAGACTACATCACATTATTTCGCTTAAAATGCCCTTATCAGCAAAAACGTTTATTAGCAATATCAAAACTTGGTGTAATGTCTAACGTATCGGTGAAAAAAATTTTTCAATTTGGTCAAATCGTCTTCTTGTCAAATTTGCCTTTCAATGGACCTTGTCCGTCGTGGCATGAAGTCTGGGTCTAGCCAAATTCTGACGTCATCCAAGGTAATTGGCATATATATCTTGCATTGAGCAGTGCCTTGCATAACGTCAAAAGGTGTGTTGTCCCAGACTTTTCGAACGACGGACAAGGTCCACTAAAAGGAGCATTTTCGCTAACTTTAAATAGCAATAAAAATGGGACGATTAGACAAACTTAAAAACTTTTTTAACTGATGCGTTAAAAATCACACCTAAATGTAATATCGCTATTAAAAATTTTTGCCGCAAGGGTCACTTAAAATTTCAGCATTTACCACTGAATTTTCCGCTATTAAGTAATGAAATTAAGACTGCAAGCAGGCTACATAAGCCTGCGCAAACAGAGTAAATATCTTTCATTTCTTAAAAAATTTATCATATAGTTTAATGTATACAAAAAAAATGAAAATCTTTAACCTATCGTGAAATTTCAAAGCATGGTCACTATGGTAACCCCACTTGTGCATTTTTGCGCATGTTTTAATGTTAGGAGTTATGTGGAATTTCCAGGAGAAGAAAAGTTTTTGTGCTAATAACAAAGACATGTAATTAACGAATGTAGCTAAGTATATTTTATAAAGTCATCGTCTTGCGTGGCATTGTAGCGATAGGCATTGAACTTCTCACAATATGTACGTTAACTCCTAATGATCGCCTTTTTTATACACTCGGTATATGAAGGATATTGGAGGATGCAGGATAAAAATGTACATATACAATTTAAAATAACATTACGTCATCGGAATATACGTATTCAAAACAGGTACCTACCTACAGGTTTGTCCCACTCAATTAATATACATTGCCTTGATGAGTGTTGCAAATTAAACAATTGTCATACCTACCTAACATAGCTGAATTGAATAAAGTCGGATGAAGTACGTAACTTATGTCAGTAATAATTTTATTTTGTATTTTATTACTCTGCTTAAGATCTGAGTACTCTATCCATACAATTTTGTAGGCGATAGCATCTGTCGCAGGACAAAAGTTCAATTTTTGAAAGAATCGACAACAATACCACGATCTATTCAAACAAACCTGATCAACTTCTGACAACAAGCTTTCTGATAGAACATTCACCTTAGCAAAAAGAATCAAGACACGATTAACAGAAAGTCGTAAGTAACTATGAAAACTCAAGCATTCACTACACAGCTTGCTTGAATGTAAAATTTATCTTTAATACAAGCAATGAACATAAAACACAACACATTAAACATGAATTCCCAAAATGCTAGACATTTTAATTCAAACACTTTGACAAGTAGTAAATATTCTTTTCGTATTCATCAGTAATATACAAAACACCAATGTTTTAGTGTATATTACTGATGATAAAATGTAACATAAAGTGTTGGGAAATTCACAATGTCAATAAGAGCTGCGCAGTTCCAGAAATTTCATCTCCATACTATCTTAGGTATTTCGGCATTAAAAATCTTGGTTCAGTTCAGTTTTGGTTCTATGGTTCTTACAAGTCTATATACGTAATGATAAACATGACAAAATAACACTATAGCATTTTTTTTCTTCAGAGTGAAATTTTGTTATTGTTAAAATGTTTCAGCCTGCATTAAGGTAAGAATTTGGCAGACATTATAACAGAAAAATAAACCAAAAACTATTCATTATTTGTAGTTTTTGATGCATGAAAAAAGTACAGACAAACAGATTCTATTCATCTATCAGTTATGTAAAGTTTATGGTGCACAAAGAAGTACTGAAAGAATTCATCAATGAACTATACAGCTCCAAATGTTTTTTCCTAAATACATTTTGACCATCAAAGGATCCAAAGTCAAGGGATTGATAACAAATGCAGGTATTTTTATGTAGCAAAGAGTATATAATAATGTTTTCCACAGACCTTGGAGTCAGGCTGGTTAATTCTTACTACAGCCACACCATCTTTGAGTTCCACATTGACAGATTTTCCTCCTAATAATTTGTGCAAAATTTTTTAAAAGCAAATTCGGAGGTTAAAACTATGCAAATATTGATTCACTAAATTTGGTCAATAGGCAATATACTGTTGTATTTTTACCAGTTTTCAGATTCATCCATTCACTTACCCAGTTTTATGCTTAATGAGGAAGACCTACATACTTAGAAGGCTTGGGCGATTTGCCTATTGGTTGTATTTTTGAAACCAGTGTTTATTGGTTTGGCTTTTACAAAAACCAGAAAAGCAAAAAACTGTCATCATCTAATTGTTAACTGTTAACACCTAAAACATGCCACTTGTTTGCAGTCAAATGGATGTTTTGCTCCCTCAATGTTGCAATATTGCAATGAATATTGCAGCTATAGTTAAGCCAGGGACACTTTGACGCCACTCAAATTGTGAAAAATGACATACGTACGTACAGACTGTAAAGTAATCTTTTACAAAGACAGAAAAGAAATCAAATTGTTTACTGTCTTTGTTACTCACAACAGAGTAAAACTGTTAGTGCTAGCAAGCCCTAATTGTATTTAAAAAATATTAAGGGATGAAAAACCTGTTTTACCAGTTCAGAATTAGACAGTTTTGGGCTTTTGGCAAAACCGCCCAAGCCTACTACCTTACATGTAAAGCCAGTCCAAATTTTTACTCCTTTGCTTACTTCTACCTAATTTGCAAAATTTTCTGCAAATGCCTTTAATCAATGTATGAGAAATCAATATCATTCAAATGTTTTTTGAGCAACAAATGAGTACATTGTAGAAGTTTAAACATAAAGATTGGCTTTGCCTCTTCTAACTGTAACCACTCAAACATGTATAAAATCAACCTGACATGCTATAAAAACTTGACAAAGAGAAATTTACTTGCGTACCTTGAGTACTCACTGATTTTGCTTGAATGCCAACTGTGGTGACTGACAAAATGAGAATTATAGCAATGAGAATAATATGTGAGTTGATATTTTCATTTTAAAATTTGTGGAAAACTTTGATCTCAAACATTTTAGTTTGGCAGCCATGTGCATAAAAGTAACCTATTATACTGTACTATGCATTGCAATTGTCAAAAGTGATTGGTTTTATGCAGCAGAACACAGTGGCAAGAACAAGTGGGGACCAAGGGGGGTAGGGAGCTTGAGACACCTAAGAATTTTGCAAGACTAGAAATATTACCTGGCCCAAATACCACAACTCACAACTATATTTTTAATGTTGCAACTATCACATTTAATAATGGCTTGAATCTATCCTTTAATAGTCCCAATTTGCATATAAAACCTTCTTGACTTCTTTATTCTGGTTAGGACTCACACAAGATTTCATTAAGTGCCCATCACTGACAGCATAAAATACAATACTTTCTATAGAGTATATTCTTTAAAGAAGTAGTGGATCCAAGGTCTGGCAAAATATGTTAAAGCTATTAATTTTAAATTAAAAATTTGTTTACAGCAATGCCATTGGTTGTGTATTTCCATAAATGTATTTCACCAAACAACAGGATGTTGTAGTGTAGTTTGCAAACAAACAGGTTTTGCCAATTCTCTTGAGCTTTTGAAAATGTCCGTTCTAAATTTTCTAATGCTGGGCAACACTGGAAACTTTGGGTGTGCAACTTGCAGAAGACTAGGACATTATGCTTACACTTTTCAAACTCGGCTCTGCAGTAAACAAACTTTCCAGTCGGTACACTGTCAAGGTGCAATCCTTGCAACATACATACACTAAGCATCTTTGGCAAAAGCTTCAGTACGCTGATCCTTATTTTACAAAAATTGACAAGTATTTGGCAAAACTTGCTTGGAATGCAGTTTGGATTGATCTTAACATGTTGTCCTACTATGCAATATTATAACACCACAGGCCACAGATAAAAATTGCCTCAAATTTGCTCAAATTCCTTTGTTGACTCTCTTTTTTTAGCAACAGTTAAATTAACAACCAATTCTTTCTACTTAAAACATTAAGTCTCTTCTCGCTAACAATGTTGTTGTCATAGTTGACGGCCAACCTCCGAAACACCCAATTTGTACAACAATCACATTTTGCACATAACAATCAACAATCACAACTCGCTTATGTTATATTTTTGCACACATCAAATCAAAACAAAAATATTCAAAATAAAATCTTTTTATTTTTAAAAGCACGATACATTCGGTGATTATTATAAATTGACGGCTACCAAGACAAGTATAACATAAACACATAACTTACATAATATTCAAAAAATATTACCTCTTGAATGCGAGCTGTACAAGATAGGAAAGTGTCGTAGACGCTCAAAACTATTTCGAAACACGCGAGAAAGCATCGGGAAAGCTGTTCAGCAGTACAAGAAATGAAAATACGTGGTTATTTTGCAGATTTAATAGTCAGAAAGCGGTTGTATATACCGACGGCCACGTTGATGTAGACCTCGAAATGGTGAGTTTCACAAATTTTTAGAGTGCAAAGTACATAACCGAGTGTGATATACAGGGATCTGGAACGAGTCGTATGTATTTATTCCAGGATTTAATTGTAATTTTTGACTTTTTGGTACGACTTAGGGACGTACTATCCCCTGACCTGTGCAGTCACTACCTGGACGGGGACCACTTCTAAATTATTTGTAAAAATTGACGGAATCATGTAAACATCAAAAGTAATCGATAGAGGTTTGCTTGATACTACTAGTTTTAAAAATGACCTTCGGTGTTTCTGTATGATTGTAAATGAAGTATGCATTGTAAAAATAAGCAGTTTAATGCATCAAAATTAACCTAGCATAAAAGAACTGCATTTTCAATACGTTGCATAGATTTATTTCCGAATGTTTATGATATATATATATACATATATATACAAAGTGAACAAGTGTTTGCTGTCGCTACTCGGAGACAGCAAACACTTGTCCATTTTATTTTAGTTCATTTGATCTTACTCTCTTCTAATATATAGAATATTGAGCGCTCTTTTATCCAGGAATGTTATCCATAATATATATATACAAAGTGTATATACAATGTGCCCTCCCGGCTATCACCATATTAAAATGGTGACTCCTGCACTTGGGACACAGGACGTACGGTTACACATTGTATGGATTGTATTGTAGAGTCACCATATATATATATATATATATATATATGTGTGTGTGTGTGTTGAGAAAAATCATTAGATTCATCCCGACAAGCCTGTTTCGTGATTGCTCATTAAATCCCCTGAAGAGTGAGCAATCACGAAACAGGCTTGTCGGGATGAATCTGTAGTTTTGTGATTTTCTCAACACCACTACACACACATATATATATATATATATATATATATATAGAATTTTATATTTGATGATTCTCAGTATAAAACAGTGCTCGATGCCCGAGAGCAGAGCGTAAATATGTGTAGTGGTGTTTGTTTATATATATATATATATGCAAAGTGTATATACAATGTGCCCTCCCGGCTGTCACCACAGTGCAATGGTGACTCCTGCACTTGGGACACAGGATGTACGGATATATATACATCTATAAGTAATTAAGTATTATTGCCTTCGCTGATGGACACCTCAACCTACACACTCATGGGCGTACGGGACCAAGAACATTGGGGGTGCCGACACATTCTTGCCGACAAAAGCGAAAACTGCCCTACATTAAATTCATTGATATAAAAAACACTATGAACCTGGATTGCATGGCTATTGCATATTCCTTGAGTACTTTAGCTATTACATAATGATATCGTACCTTACTAAGTTACTTGTCGATAAACTATTTTGTGCAATTATATTAAGCCTCAATGTCACTATTTGTTCTCATTTCTATATGGTTGGAAATTTTTCACAAAGCGACAAAAAGAACACATGTGAGAACAGAAAAAAGCTATAATTTGTTGCAAATGATGCTAAATGTTTAAAAAAGAAGCAAAGAATAAGCAGTGACGTCGGAAGAGAAAAGCCTGGGAGCCAGGGCGTATTAAAAGATTTTGCCACATGATGCATTATGTGACTTTAAATTCATTAGTCAAAGTGAAACATCATAGCATTAAGATAAACGAATTTGTTATAGTTGACTATCAAATAATTACAAAATGGTTAGGAAAATCTAAATATGTCTCACAATTTGTAAATTTTCCCATTCTTTCAATTTCAATGTTTTTGCATTTCTATGCAACATGTTAAAGGCATTCTACCCCATTGGATTTTCATCGACCATTACCTCCGTTTGATAAATTATGAGGAGACCTTTGCTTGACAGTTCAATGAAGATGGACTTTGGAAGTTAAAATTTAACCATAGAAAAAAAATGAGTTAAAGTGAAAGACACAGCCCATTTTTAATGTACCCGCTTTGAATATTTGTCTTATAGTTTTTGTCATTATACTACGTTAAACTGTCAACTTATTCTACAAATATGTGTTTAATTCGATTGAAACGGGAAAGCTAGAAAAACGTAATTACGGATGGCAATTATTGTTGCCAGAAAATTCTAAACCCGTGATACTGCAACGCCCTCTCTCCCCCCTCCCCATAAAATAAAACGTGAAAAATGGCTTAAATAGGAAATATTTCTTTTGCATATTTATTCCCCTCGCAAATGGTTTTATCTGATAGCGTTATTAAAGTAAATAGCAAAGGAAAAGTTCAAAGAGAATATACTCTGTCATAAAATTTCTTGCTCTTAGCTTGTTAATATTAGTTTTGTTAATTAAAGTAATAATTTCTATAGTGTTTTGACCACAAAAGACGAAAATCACAAAATATTGCCCGACGTTACTTCTTTACCTCAAAATTGAGGGTAAGGCTGCAGCACCCCCGGCATCCCCGCCTCGTACACCTATGTACACACTTATAAATCCAGGTGAACCAGGACTCTGGCAGGATGCATTAGTTGCAATGAGCTTGACGGCAGAAGAAGCAAAAATCTGTTCGTCTAATGGAGATGACGGGGAAATAAATAAAATGATTAATTAAAATAAATTATAAATTATAAATTGAAGAATCCTTTATATTTGGACCTAGTCTATAATTCTTTTAGTTTTAGACGAATACACCATCAATTTTACTGACTTTGTTGGTTTTGTTGAGTGAAGGAGTAGAAAAATTTTATAATTCGCTGGAGGTTGAGGATGTATATTTTTATTTATTGTTCACGAATTGGTATATTATTTGTGGTTTGAAGAGTATTTGCTGGTTAAAGAGAAATTGCCTTAGCAAATGCTCCTCTACCTGCAAATATGTTTTCAGTTCCTGATTAAGAATGATAATTGTACATCCTTTACGGTTAACCTACCAAAAATTTCTTTTCAAAGTGAACCTATGCAAATATTATCAAAAAGGTCGCATTTCATAGTGTCTTAGTTCAAACCAATTATTTTTTCCAAATTTGATTTTTAACACATTACACGATGACAAAATACAATATGTAATTCACAGAATTTAGAAAACGTTTTAAATATTTTGATTGACACTTTATTATGTACATAGTTTTGCTTTCATGCATGCCTTACTAAGCAATGATACATGTCAGAGGATCAAATGCACTAGTTACAAAAGCAGTAGTTTCCAAATTGAATAATGCAGTTCTGTTAGGCAGCTGGTCCAGCTAGGGTTGCGCAAAAATAGTTTACAATCTTTTTGAAATAGCATGGCTAAAATTATTTAAAATTTTCTAACTAAAAACAGCATTGCATCATTGTATAATGAATTCTTTTCTTGTACCTAAGCAAGCTCAAGATATTGTAATAAATGTACTGATTTTAACTTCCAAAATTAATATATGACAATGACATCTGCCAGAATCCTAGAATCCAAGCAAATTAATTTAAAATTCAATGACAGCAAACTTTGTCAATTCAGCCCCAGGACCAAGCCAACACTTTCTTCTACCTCTGTGTCGATTTAATCGATATAGATGTTGTATGTAATAAGCTAGAAGATATTCACAATCGTCCCACTATGCATATGCAGTCTCATGTATCGTCCGTCGAATTATTTTTGATTAAAATTGTCTTGTAAACATAGCGAAGGTTTCCTTAATGTGCATTGTCTTATTTGTAATGTGTATTCCATATGAAGTAAACTAATCTTCTCATAATTTAAATTTTCTGCCAGACTTTTTGTTTTGGGGGCTAAATGCAGACGAATAATTTGTGAAGGTATAGCAGGCGTAATAACACACGACCCAACTGACTAAATAATACGAAAGGAACGAGCCAACTTGATGACAGCAACACGACTCACTAGAAATTTACATGCAATATCATATATTGACATTCCTATACCAATTTTGTATATTTAATTTACCGCATGCTTACAATGAAGTGGATGATTTTTGCTGACTTCAATGTGGTACCACAAGCCAAGTATATCAATATTGTAATGTAACTTAATTCAAATTTAATTCACTTACACGATTGAAAGTTGTTTAATAAATATCACATTATTACAAGTATAAATTATGAGTACAGAATAAATATTACAGCATAAATTATTCATCTAATTAAAAATTATCTAGGAATAAATCAGACAATTGTTTGTCACTTTCAGGGTCCAACGGCAACAAATACGAGCAAAATGAATTGTTATTATCTAAGAAAGACCTGGTTAGATTTACCGATTGAATAACTTTCAAGTACAATTGATCATTTCATTCTCGGAAATTTGGATGGAGATTCAGTAGGAAGATTGACACTTCGTTTCTTTGGTGTATTTGGTGGAGTGAAACCATATAAAAGGTTGTGGTTCGTCAAAATCTTATTTTCCACATCTTTAACAAACTTGTACATATCAGGAATGATGACGTTATTCCAGTCTGACTCATTAAAATCGAAGTTTGTTTTCTTATTTTCACCACGAAACCTCTCCAGCAAGATTCCTTTTTGCTTACCAGAAATAAACATATATGCTTGTAACTGAATGATGTCATATTCTGGTTGCATAAATCGTTCTTTTCTGTTCTTCACTTCTATAATTGTATCCTTGTCACGAGCATCTACTTTGCCAACCAGAGACCATGTCATATCTTCGTATGATATACGTTTGGTGTACTTTTCCTTTCTACAAACGGCTTTTCCTGAAACATTGTCAAACTGGTGAGAGCCTTTTCTTCCAAATTAGTACCTCTGTCGCGACGAAGTTTACAACGAAGTGCATCTTTGGTGGGCTCATCAACATTCTTACCAGTTTCTTTACCGATTTTCTCGACGACCTAGACACAGTAAGAAACATTACTTAATGCTTCAACGTTTTTTCTCAGACTTGTTTAAACAAATTTAATTGCGCTCTACACAAAATCAAAATCTTAGGATTGTAGTTCTCATTGAGTTATGAAGACATGAACTGATGAACAAGAAGAATAAATAAAAATTGACTCAAACCCATACCTCATCAACCGTTTCGTCGACAGATTTCTTTTCGTCCTTACATAAACTGACAGTGGCTTCTTTCACTCTTTCGTCCTCATCTAACACGCTTAAAAGATCATTTTGTTTTGCTTCGCCAAATGTCTTTGAGTCAACAAATTCTGATAGCGTATGTCTTAGGTCACTCCATTTGGCGCCAAGAAGTATTTCCTTCAGGGAGTAAGTAAAGAGTTGTCTTCCGCGTTCACTTTTAGTTTCGTTTGGTAAGATGTTTTTGAGACTTTCATCTTTAATGAAGCCTTTACAAATCCTCAAAGCCTAGCCTGCATGGTCCAAACAAATAGAAAACAAAAAGGAAGTATCATCAGATCTTTGCCATACACGAGCAATGGTTTTTTCGCGAGGTTTGAAACGCTTCTTACCTATCGCACTAGCCAATTCCCTAGCTCAAATCTCGATCTGAGCCTTAGTGTTTAAAGCCATGAAAAAAGTATAGTTCGGCTGTTGTTACAATTGAAATGTTTTAATTTCAGTACAAAACATAATAAGTCCGGTTTTGAAAACAACTCAAACAACAGCAATGTTTGCCACAGTTTCTAAAAACGATGTGGAAGCTTAAAAAGGAATAGGATGGGGAAAACACTAAAAAGCGGCAAAGCTGGCTTTGAACACATATAAAACATATTTTAACGAGACAAACTTGAATAAACCGTCTGACAAAAACAAATTAGCGAAGGTTTGAAAAATATTTTATATTGATATGTTTTGATAATACTTCAGTGAGTAAAAAAACAATTATCGAATTCGTGTTTCGCATGATATCAAGTATTACTCAGAACTCGGTCAATGTTATCCGCGTCAGCTTCGCTTCGGAAGATAACAATGACATCAGTTTGAATAATTCTTCAAATCATGCTCAACCTCATCCAATAATCGCTTGATAATCGCTTAATAATCAGCCATGGCAACAATTATGTTGGCATAATTCTCCAGTTTGTTTTTACAATGTTCAGCAATAACTGAATCTTTATTCCGATATGCTTGCATGCTGTAGTCAAACAAATTTTTAATACTCAAAAGAAAGCCTCGCAGCTCTTCGACATCAGCCATTTTTGACGTTTTAATTTGTCAAACTTATACGATAACTTTCTCTGGTCAATCTACAGCAGCTGAACAACGTTACAGCCGTAATTCTGGAACACTGCATATAAAATCTCGACCAGTACATAGATAACTTCACTCAGGATAAAAAGTATAGAAATAATCTCGATTATTGCTAATATTTCTGTCGCTTACAGGTCTCGGGTGATGTTAATATATTTCGAATACCGAATAGAGTTATTCTTGAGTATCATGTATTTTTTTGAACTATAGTATATAAAACTCAACCAATGCGTGTTAAACTCGACACACTTTTGTCCGCTTTGGCTTGCCTTACGTAATCAATTAAAACAATAGCGTTAAGTCATCTATTACGTATTTCCGGTATATTACATCACTCGCCTACTTCGTTGACTGAGCTGAGGCCACTGACGCGGCCGAGGCAAGCCCGGGTCACTTGGTCAGCATCAGCAAGCCGTATGTATCGTTGACGGGAAACTTCATATTTATTATCAGAGTTCAGAAAAGATACTTTTGCATCAAAAAAAAGGCACACAATCGATAACGTAGAAAATGGACAAATCCGACAAAAACAAAACAAGAATATATATCTTCAGCTGAATAATAAATACAAATAATTTAAAAATAATTTATCATAGTTACAATTCAAAATATTTCATATTTTTTAAAAAGACAAAAAGAACACGACGTTAAACAGTCAATCTGGCAAAGCAATTAACGAAAAAATACAAAATCAATAGGATTGCTTTCCATTTGACCTAATTTTGGCTTCGCTGAATGAGCAGGAATACGTTTTTGGTTGGTAAGAGGTTTTCAATCTAAGAAAGTAACAATACAAGACACGTTTTTATGTAGCTATAAAACATTATCAATGATTAACAATGAAACGTCAAATGACTTTTTGACAAATTGAAGGGATAAAATGTATTTAACATTGATTGTTATGATTGTCAAAATCACCATGACATCAGTCACATCATATTGCATTCATTCTAAAATGACATTTCAAATAAGACCATCATTTTTCAGCATAGTTAAAACAATTTAGCTAGTAACAAATACAGCAGTTTCGTGGATACATTGCTGTGTATAATGAATACGTGTGAAGACGCTAAAGTTGGGATTTCAGACAAACTGTCTACAAAAACTATTATTTCCTAAAGCTAGCTACGCAATGTGATGTCATAACCATGGGCGTATGGGCTGGGGGGCACAGGGGGGCATAGCTCCCCCTGAAAGCTTAGCCGTTTGAGCATTTGGGCTTAACACCATGTGTCGTTCTGGCAATTAATAAAAGGCTAAACGACATAAATTGAAGCAAGTTATATGGAAGAGATAAACAAGGAAGTAATTAATTGACATTTAAAATTCTTTGCGTTACATGAAGTTCATACGTATCTTAATTGAAACGGGTGCGAGCTAGCTCGTATAAAAATATAATTTTAACGTTAAAATGGTTGATATTTATTTTGCTTTTGATGATAATGCAGTATAAAGACGAAATATTACAGGGTTTAGGTAGTAACTTTAAGGTACTTAGCATCTTTTAACACAATGCATGATATTCATTTATTTGTTTATATGTTTTTCTATCTAGCTACTAAAAAGTTTACTGATTTATTTGTATATTTGTTATTGTCTCTGATCACAATATACAATTATTTTTGAGAAAATTATTGGCGTTTTTACGAATCGGACAACTGAAGATCATATTTTTTCTGACTTTCCATTATACATGAATATGAATGGCTACACCAACCAATCCGACCAAGAAATACGATTGAATACTCTGTACATGCCTAGTTTGATTTTAAGTTAAGCTACTAGACATTACTGTAGTAAAACGGCCAGTATTGTAAGAAGAATGCATATTGCTCCTGCACATTGGAAATACTATTCTTTTTATCTACTCTGTGCCGGCTGGAAAGTTTGTAAACTGCGCACCCGGTTTCAGTCTTTACAGAAATTTTTGCGTGCCTTACTTTCGTTTTTGCTAGTTTTTACGCACCTGAAAGCGAATTTCGCACTATAATTTCGTAAAAAACGTACTTTTTCAAAATTTTGCGCGCGCTTTTAACAAAAATTGCGATATTTTCGTTAATATATCGAATTTTCTTAACATTTGACCCCGTTTACTTTTTATATGGATTCTCACTCCCCATCGTAAATCGTAGCTTTGCGCTTTTTAAGACATTTTTGATACGATCTAAAAAGTCATTTCATTCATCTCGAGCCCAGGGCCAAAACTACAAAGCTGATTGAATGTGTGTGTGCGGGGGAGGTTAATACTCATATATTCAGCACTGAAAGACTGATTTCTTTTGAAAGTAACATCAGTTTCAAATGTAATCTGTGGTCAAAGAAGAATATATGACTATTCACATTACCAACACACCCCCTGCCACCCAGTTAGCCTTCTATCTACGGCAATGTTTGAGCCTTTAATATACAACGTCACTATTACGCAAGCAAAAGTAGCTTACACTAAAATAAACACATAAATTTCGAACGCCTCTTACCAAGAATTCCAAAGCTGTACTTCATCTCCCAGTTCTTGAGATGCACATTCTCCAGCCGTCGACATACGACTTATTCCTTGAGCAATAATATCAACATCGGTACAAGAAAGAACGTCATTTTTCAATCCAGCAGACTTGCAATTTCGTCTGAGCTTAAGTATTTCTTTCGGTAAAGTCGATTTTGAGAGTGAGTTGACGGACATGGAAGACCGCGCTATATAAGCCTAAAAAGGTACAAGGAGATTTACCTTTACAAATTTTTGATAGAAATAATTATGGTTCTGACTATGAATTCAACAATAGATTGGAGTATATAAGAACTCAAGTTTCAACATCAGATCACTTCTGATGAAGACACTAGACTGGAGTATGTAAGAACTCAAGTTTCGACATCAGATCACTTCTGATGAAAGCACTAAACGGGAGTGTATAAGAGCTCATATTTAAACATCAGATTTTTCTTGATAAAAACACTAGACTGGAGAACATAAATATTAAAGTTTTAACATCAGATCACTCCTGACGAAGACATTAAAATACATAGGTCTCGAACATTGACATAAATATAGAATACCTTAGGTTTTGCATTAAGCATGTTCTTTTCTTCTACAGTTTGTACAACATCATTAATAGTTTCGTCCTCGTGTAACTGTGATTTTTCAAAAATTGTTTTGTGACGTAAACAATTTTGTCCTTTAGGATATTTCTCGTCCCCTTGTGTTCGCAAGTCGTCAACACGTCCTAGTAAATCCTCATCCTGCGCTTTCGCAACCATGTCAGAACTAGCGTTAGAACGATATGATTTGGGAATCTTTTCAGGTTTGTTTGGTTTAGGATGTGGAAATTTTCCGTTGTCTTTTCCGTTTATTCCTACAAAAAAAAAACAAGTTTTTTCTTTCCTTTATAAAAAAAATACAAAGTACTTAAAGAATTCAGAGTAAACAGACTCAAATTCAAAACACGCTGAAATAGATAACGACTCGAGTTTTATTATTAGAAAGCTCCTGGTAAAGACATTAAACTGGAGTATATTAGAACTCAAGTTTCAATAACAGATCCTTTCTGAAGAAGACATGCATTAAACTGGAGTACATCAGAACTCAAGTTTCAACATCAGATAACTCTGGATGAAGACACTAGAATGGAGTATATTATAGAAGATTAATGGAGTGACACACCTTGATTTAGACAACTCCTTTAATTTTCGATTTCTTTGCTTTATATATTCTATTATCACATGATCCTATTTTATTCATTTAGGCTAATTATTGTATAACTACTACATATATAAGGACTCAAGTTTAAACATCAGATCGCTCTTCATGAAGACACTAAACTGGAGTGTATAAGAAATCTAGCTTCATCATCAAATCACTCCTTAAAACGTTCAACACAAATTCTTCAATTTTATAATTTACAACTTACTTAAGCAAATCTGTTGTGACATATATCGATCAATAAAATTATTTTCATCATCATCATAACTTAATTCATTGGAGTTCCCTTCTTTATCGGACCACGCATCCAAACTAAATAAATGTAAACAGTGTTCAACCTGTTTTACATACTCAAACCCACTGAAAGCTGTAGGAAAGGGGGAGAAAGGCCGGCTATTCCCCTGATCAAGGGATTTTGAGGGATTTTACATGTACTGGAAGATCATTAACCTCAAAAAGGTCTGTGAAGCGTGAGCCATGAGTAGCATAAGGTTCGGTACCCTTCTCCAGTGACATTTTAGCAACTGCAATCTCGTAGATGTTATTTCATGCATTTTTAGAGCAATTTAAAAACAACGTAACAGACGAGTTATGAAATAAACATCCTTGCTTTATACTGTCTGCAATAAATTATTTGAAATACTAATTACAAAAAACTCCATAGGGCTCAAGAAGTGCGAAGGGAGGGGGTAATTTTGTTTCAGCACGGGACCAACAATAGGTCTTAGGAGACCGAATGCCCTCCCTACAATATATGTTACGATATACCTTTCCAGTTATTGTATAAAATCTTATAAATAGGACTGTTCCTCGAAGCATTTTATAAAAGAAACACAATAAGACGCGTGAGCTGATTGGTCTATACCTGCGTTAGGTTCAACTAGTGCAAAATAGATTTGAACTCAACCAACTAAGTCAATCCAATAATCAAAGAGATTTTGCAAATCAATGATGAATACATTTTAGAGGAAAAATGAAACATTTGTTTTGTTTCAAATTTGTCTGTTTTGCGTTATTGCTATTTTATAAAAGAAATAAAAGATGCTTTTCGTGTTTGCACAGGCTTATGCAAGCCTCGGAGACGTTAGTGGGAACTCTCCAGGAGGGGCAACCTCGGAGACGTTAGTGGGAACTCTCCACTTTGACCTTCGGCCTCAGGCTTGCAATAATCTGCTCTAGAGTTCTCTCAAACGGTTTCCTTAGTTTTCACATGTATGAGGCAGAGCAAAAGAAATGTTGATTGCAGTGTTTGGCTTGTCAAAGCAAAAATGGAAGGATTTCCATATTTTTTACAGGGTGGGAAGTGGGTAAGAAAGACAGAATGTAAGTCTGGATTTTGGGGTGGTTTAGTAGAGCAGCCATGGAAGGTGTGTAGAAGGTTGTAACATTACTTAAAAACACTCAGTTCAACTGTATTAGCTACTGATTTGTCGTGCTAAAAATTGGGGGAGAGGGATTAAAATATTTCATTCAGGGGGTGAACAATTTATTCATCTTGTGCAATAAAGAGATATAAATACACGTTTTTGGAGCATTCAACAAATCAGCGCAAGTGTTTTTAAAAGATTATTTCATAAAAATATTTATCAATGCCGTATTCTTTATTTACTCACTGTAGAACATATTTCAAAATATAGAAATTTAGCAAACTCGACGTATAAGAAGTCGTGAAAATGACGTAAAAATGACGTGGACTCAACCATGTCATATCCATTGAATTGAATATAACTGGAACGCTGCATTTCGCTGGATTATTGAAGCCGCTTTCACCCAGAGTCTTTCCACGCAATAAAAACAGACGGCCAAACAAATTCATTCGCATAACGCACCGTTAAAACTTCTCAAAAAAACTACATTTTAGGGAAATAAATCATTCAAGTTCATCAATCAATGCAAAACATTCTTGATTTTATAGCGACTCGTCGCTTCGAAATGCTGAAAGAAATGTCTATTTCATCAAATAGCTTTCTTTTTTTCAACTTCAAAATAGTCGCAAAAATTTAGGTTTCGGTAAAACAATCAGAAGGTAGCGTTCTAGTTATATTAATTTGAATGGTAATATCAAATTTCTACGCCATTTCTACGGCGTCGTCTTAGACGACGATACGTCGTTTAGGCTAAATTTCTCTAAAGTCTCGTATGCTACCTGAAAACTGGTGACGAGGCTGCGAGACCAAACTTTGCCTGTTGTCCCGAGCAGCGAAAGTGAGGTGTATCTGAAAATGCGTCAGTTGAAAAACATTAGACATGAAGAAATATTACGCTAAAATATATCGGAGATAGCATAATTACTTTTCTATTTTTGTTAACCAACTACGTATAAAAAAGTATATTGCTTAAATATATTAGACTCAGAAAAATTAATTTTCTATTTTGATTCACCTACTACATATAAAATATATATTGCTTAAATAAATTAGACATAGAATAATTAATTTTCTATTTTCTTTTACCACGTATATTCGCTCAGAAATTTTACAAATTTCCCATATGATAATTTATGCGAAGCCTAGAAGGTAGGGTGTATTACTTTCACACTTTGCATGTCATACCGAGTTGGTCGTGTTTCTTAAACAGTTCAACATAAAAAGTCATAGTTATGTAAGAGAAATTATGAATTAACTGTATGGCTACCTATTATCTGTTGTTTTGCAATAATAAGTTTAAGATTTTCCTCTCAATTATACCCTCGTGAAAAACTAACGCATCTTTAATACGACGGGACTGAACAAAAGGGTTATGGGTTCTAATGAGAGCAATGTTACAACAGAAAACGTTACAACAAATGATTTTATGATTACTTTGACGGAAAAACAAGGACGTATAGTGATTTGGTCGGCAGCAATCCAGCGAATCCCAATTCTAGAAAGAGAAATTAATAACAACATAACTCAAAGACTTTAATCTTTACAAAATCTAATATTGATATGATGATTTGATGTTGAAATTTGAGTCCTTATATACTTCAGTATAGTGTCTTCATCAGGAATGATCTAATGTTGAAACCTGAGTCCTTATATACAGCAGTCTAGTGCAGGGGTCTCCAAACTACGGCCCGCGGGCCAGATGCGGCCCGTTGGGCCTCTCAATCCGGCCCGCAGAGACACTCAAGAAAAAATATTATTAAACAAAATAAACTTTATGCAGAAAGTTCACGTTATGACGCAAGCCAACTAGCAAGAGTGGCTTTTTTGTCCCAACGTCAATTTTTGTCCCAACTTCAACAAACAAATGAATTTCTGAGGGAAGAATTTAAAGAAAGAGAACCGAAAGAGAACTATCAAACTTTGAGTCATTTTACTGCAGGACTGCTATCTATGTTTGGCATCACATACCTGTGTAAAAAAACTTTTTCTAGAATGAAGTATATGAAAAACAGTTATAGAACAAACATGTCAGATGAAAATCTGAGGGCTCCTCTAATGCTTGGGACCTCAAACCTAAAGCTAGACTTTTTTACAATTTTGTCATGAAAAAGCCAATTTCACCACTCACATTGAGAAAACTGAACAGACTAATTGTGATTTTGTTATGATATTACTCTTGGTTGAAATTTAACCTTTAAAGTTTAATTTTTGAATGAATATTTTCTTAAATAATGAAGCTTGCATGTGTTATGTACTTCGTTTTATTAAAATATTCGTTCTTCGATCAGCGGTATACGGTTCGTCGGCCCTCAAAATGCTGAATGAAAATTTCATGTGGCCCTCTGGCTGTAAAGTTTGGAGACCCCTGGTCTAGTGTCTTTACCAGGAGTAATCTAATGTTGAAACTTGAGTTCTTATATACTCCAGTCTAGTGTCTTCGTCAGCAGTGATCTCATGTTGAAACTTGAGTCTTTATGTACTCCAGTCTAGTTCATTGGGAGTGATCCAAGTTGAAAGTGGAGTTCTTACACATTCCAGTCTAAATATATCAATATTTTGCAACAATACAACAGCCTTCTTACGAATACAGTAGACAAGGAACAAAAACTAGCACATTTCATACCTTGGTTTTGTTAGAACGCTCAGAATTTGAATAACAGGATCCGTGAATGGAAGAAGTTGGTATTTTCCTGCTTTTTGAGAGCGAAGTCCTTTGAGGCTAAAGGACGAAAATATGAAAACTGAATCTTAGAGTATTTATAAAACATAAGAATCAAAGAATCCTTAAAAAGGTTTCTTTGCCTGTATGTGTCATAGCTAAATCATTGAAATGAACAACAAAAACAACAAAAAAATAAATAATTTAATATAGTTTGCACAATAAATACAAGAAAAATTCTATTCTCTTTATAATGAGCGCTAACTGCCTGACTAACCATAGGGCTAGCAAATTACGCAGTTAGTTGGTTTGACAAGTCGTCTTTTAAAGATATATTTAAAAAAAACCCGAAAAAACGACGAAAATAGCATAAATACATAATTAATATTAAATAGAAAAATTCAATTTTACAACTTTTGGTCTATTTCTATGGCTCCAATTAAAACTTTATGTGGGCATTAATTTTTATTATACGAATTTAAATGGAAAAGCTGTTCAGTTATAACTCAGTTTCTGCATAGATGAATCAATAACTTTTAATCACCTTTTGGAATCTTTTAAAAGGAGATTTTGAATTTTCTGCTAGTTGGTGAAGCTCGGGTTCAATTTCTGCTCTCGATTTTCCGCGGGAAATAACAAGTCAATTTTATACTAACTTTCAGGTTACTTTTTATTGAATTGTTGCCTTCTAGCTTTCTACGTGAATAGTGTGTCAATTTACGTTTAGTTTAACATATATTGTATTTAATCACTACATTGTCAATTTTAATGATTTAATACGATATATGTTAAACGTGTCAATTTTACATACGATATATGCAAAACGTGTCAATTTACATACGACGTTCAGTGTGACGCATATTGTTGTTTCTCCCGAATTTTTGCCAGAATAAACACGATTAGTATCTGCTCTATGTGTAGTAAAAGCAATGGCAATTTTTTTAAGAATTTGCTTTGAATCATTGAATGCAAAATGGAAACACAAAATTGACCATTGAGCAGGCAGAACACAGCAACATGCACGATTATACGTAAGAAGCACTCTCTTACATTCTTCGTGATTGGTTGTTCAGAGTCGTTTGCCATGGACGTCTTTTCTAGCTTTACTTCGCTCTGAGTAGAAAAAACATTCAATTACCACGAATAAAAGTAGAGCTTACTCAAGTGAAACTGCACAACACACTACTTTGTCCGTTTCTGCCTTGCATACATTAATTGTGTGCACACTTTCCAAAAAGCTGTATAAACATTCCACTTCAAAACTACAGATCAGCACCTTTCTCTATGAAACTTCACCAACAATCCAGTTTAAAAAACAGATTACCGCCTTTCTACAAAAAACTTCTCCAACATTCCACCTTAAAACAACAGATCACCGCCTTTCTACAAAAAAATTTCCACCAAAATTCCACTTTCTAAAAGCAGATAACCGCCTTTCTACAAAAACTTTCACCAAAATTCCACTTTAAAACAGCAGATCACCGCCTACAAAAAACTTCACCAACATTCCAGTTAAAAACTATAGGTCAACGCTTTTTCTCTAAAACACTTCACCAACATTCCAGTTAAAAACTATAGGTCACCGCTTTTTCTCTAAAAAAACTTCACCAACATTCCAGTTTAAACTAAATATCACCGCCTTTCTCCAAAAAACTTCACCAACATTCCAGTTTAAAACTATAGGTTACCACCTTACCCTTAAAGAAACTTCACCAACCTCTTTTAGTTTGCGCTTTTTCTGCTGGCTACCAGAACGTCTCCTGTTTCGTTCTGTCCTTGTCCTGTATCGTTTCTTCTTTTTCTAATCAAGCAAATTCAACACAGATATTTTGAAACTTGAAAGTGCTGAAGAAGACAATCGACTACAAATCTCTTCTTATGTTAGTTACATGATTTATCACTTCGTGCAAACAGAGTAGTCGCCGTTTATTGTTTACACGACCCAGGCTAGGCTGGGTTCAGTAAGAAGTTACTGATTTTGACAAATTTAAATTGACATTGTTTTCAAAAAAAATTAGCCAGACGTAGCCGCTCAATTAACGTTCGATTAACAGTAATGATAATATTGTAGTAGATCAACACGTTACCTTGGGAGGGTGTTGATCGGAGTATATTATATGCATTGGCAAGCCATCTGATACAGAGCTGTCTGATCCACTTGAACTGAAACAAACGTTTCCAATGTAAACTTCAACAGACAAAAAAAATGATGGGCAATTTCGCTGAAACGGAGCATGCGTGGTAAAGGCTCAAAACAACTTGTGTAACAAGTTGTTTTGAGCCTTTAACATGATATGTTAAAAGACTATTTAGTTCATATTAAACTATTGGAGGCAGCACTTCATGTATTTTTCATTACTTTGTCGTAACAAAATTTACAGAGTGCGGCTCTTAAGGACTGGGTCCCACGCGGGACACGGCGATTTTCCTTTTATTTCTGAGAAGGTTGGTGAAAAACTATGAAAGCATACATTTTCATGCACAGTTACCCAATGACCGATAAAGATCCTACACTTTGTAAGGTCTTAATAATGCAGGAGCAATACTAATAAAAAACATAATCTATTGTTAAGTTCGTATCAAAAACCTTGACTCAGACGTGGCGAGACTACTTTCGACATCGATGTCGGATATTTGAGCATCCACGCCCGCTATGCCTTTCTTCTTTAGTCTTTCCAACAGCAAATACTTCATGTAAACTTCCACTTCATCCAAAATAGAGTAATACTGCAACGAAAGTCAGAGCAACTCGTGAGGAAGCAATGTCCCACAATAGCTAGCTTGTGAAAGAGTTTGTAAAATCCTTCGGCTATTCATTATTGGGCAAAATTTAAAAGTAAACTGCACACAAACAAGCCAACACCAAATGCTTGCACGAAAATAACAAAATCAGGCTCTTTAGCAAGCTTGAACTAATAAAATTTATTCCGGATATACGTAAAAAGACTGGAACGAATCACATGATTCGAAATTCAAATTGGAGGGAAGCAGCATTTTAGCGATCGGTATGAAGATTGCACTGTGCTATGCCCAGGATAGAAATATTCTCCATTTCGAAACAAATCTCTTGAAAATCAAAAATTAGGATTTGATATGGGTAATCAATGGGGGAAATTTGTTGATCCAAAGATAAAAGGTGTCTTCTCGTGCGAAGAAAAATAAAAATCTCTTCAATATTCAAGTATTAAAAAATCACTAACCCAGGAATAGATTCAGAGAAGAAGCTCGATGTAAAAACTAGAGCCCCCCCCCAGCCTTGGCTAGAATCACATAAAAGCATCTTAGACTAACTGACATCATATATAATCTAGAGCACCACGCCCCCTAGCCTTGGCTGGAATCACATAATAAAACCCACCCACGAGTCACCAAAATCAAATCCAAACTATAGACTCACAGAACAACATCATATAAAAACTAGAGCACCTCCCCCACACACAAAATCATACTCGATCCATTCTTGCACAAGTAAATACTCGGCCAGTCGGCATATGTGCAATTGGACAAAAATTTGGTAATCCAGGGAAAGTATAGTGAACATACAGTAGAGCCACTCCAATGAATTTTTTCGTGCCGCACATGTCTTATTACTCATGCCAAATCATGGGATTACCATAGTGGCAGCCAGTCAATTGCTTTTTCTGACCAATAGGAATGATGAAATGGCTAACGGCAGCCAAAATATAATTCATTATACAGCAGCTACTTGCCCAGCAAAGGATTTGTACATCCCTACTGTATATCCCTATATTGTGATTTAGGTCTACCTTAGATGCATCAGGATCACAATAGTCTAAAAGTGTATCACATAGATAATAACCAAGAGACTCAAAGTCTGCTGTCGTAAAATGTACTCCGTCTTGGTCACCCAATGCCGAGCCACAAAATGTTGTCTAGAACATAAAAGAAAAGAAAAGTTTGATATTTCTGTGACTTGATTATATTAAAGACAGAATGTAGTGTTCCCAATACGCTAACGAGAAATTAGATAAAAAATCACTGGAAGCAAATATTTTTGTGCCTCAAAAGAAATGTTGCACTAGGGCCGAATGGCGCTGTATAATGACTGGATAGCAATATTTATTAAATGCTTCAAAAAACTCTTAAAAGGGAAAAATCTACCATTTGAACTGGAAAATCAACGAGAAACAGTTTTTGGTTCTGGAATTACAATAAGTTTCATTATCGTGAAAAACAAAACCACTTTTTTTCACACTTTGAAAAAATTAAAACCCAATATACAACGCAATCTGGGTTTCATGCAACCTGTCCCAGATGAAACAAAACATGAGTTACATTACATTGTAATCTATATTCTGCAAAGCAAAATCATTCGGGAATTTACTGGCAAGTTCTGCCAAACTGCTATGCGTGCTTTTAATGGTCAGACGCAGATCCAGGGTTATGCAAACTAAATTACAACCGTTAAATTTAAATTTAAAATACCTAAATAAAAATGCCATTGATTGTAAATTTCCAAAGAATACAAGAACAACCAATCAATGGGCTGTTAATAGTTATCAAATGAACTTTTTGTATGGAATTCTATTTTGAATTTTGATCCTAGGAAGCGAAATACTTTATCTAAGGTTGCATTCACGCATGAATACGTTAAGTGAAAAATACAAATAATATCATAGAAAAAGATAAAATAAACGTTTTTTAAAAAATGACGAACGCATTCATCTAACATCTCACTCTTAAGAAATCAGGCTTTTGCAAATTTTCGGATATAAGGAAAGTCATTAGATGAATAAAAATTTGAAAATTTCATTTTTGTATTGATACCTCCATCGTGTAACTGTTCGAAATCCCCATATTCCACATTACCACCCTTCCTGTACCACTCTAAAAGTAGAAATGTTGAAAAAAAGACAAGTGAAAGAATATGTAAATACTAGCATCTTTGTTTGTTGAAACTTTGAAACTTGAGTCCTTATATACTCCAGTTTACACTGTCTTTATCAGTAGTGATCTGATGTTGAAACTTAAGTCAATATATACACCAGAGTAGTGTCTTTATCATCACTAAATTGAAGATGTCAAAATCAATTTATTCAAATAGTCCGTGAGATGCAAAAAGAATTTACATACGTACCTTGCTTTTCTGTACCTTAAACTTGCATTTCTTGAAACTAAACTACACACGAAAATCATCATTAATATACGCAAAACTTCCAATTTTATATTCAATCTAGGCCTAACTTTACTATGCTTTTCATGCTTAACAGCCACAAATCCATGGGTTCGTATAGTTCAACCAAATGATTGTAAGTTGATGAAAGTCAAAGACAAAAGATGTATATAAAAAACTCACCATGTCTTTGCAATTTTTTGACATCATCATTGGAAATACGCGTTCCTTCAATCCATGTTCAATGTTGGCTCTGTTTTCGCAACCATAAAAAAATACATTTTGTTTTCTACTGTGGCCATGGAAATCACAATAAAGAGTTATTTCTCTCTCTTGGCTGAGCCTGAAATAAAATACAATATGAAACACAAGCATACAGACATAACGCTTTAAAGGGGGAATTTCCCTTTAAATCAAGTTTCATTACGTTTCGCGATTGTTGTCATATAGCAACCATGGACAATAATGAGTAACGTTTTAACATCAGATCACCCCTGATGAAGAAACTAGACTGGAGTACATAAGGACTTAAGTTTTAACATCAGATCACTCCTGATGAAGACACTAGACTGGAGTATATAAGAACTCAAGTTTCAACATCAGATCACTCCTGTTGAAGACACTAGACTGGAGTATATAAGAACTTAAGTTTCATCATCAGATCACCTCTAATGAAGACACTAGACTGGAGTACAAAAGGCTCAAGTTTCAACATCAGATCACTCCTGTTGAAGACACTAGACTGGAGTATATAAGAACTTAAGTTTCAACATCAGATCACTCCTGATGAAGACTCTAGACTGGAGTGTATAAGGACTAAAGTTTCAACATCAGATCACTGGTGATTGAAACACTAAACTGGAGTCATAAGAACTCAACTTTTAACACCCCATTACACATTTGAAGACACAATTTCCCGACCTTAGAATTATTTAGCACTGTGGACGAAGTTATTTGACCATGTGCATGGGAAGCCAACATTACTTTGGGCATACTTATGCAATGCACAAAAAATTACAAATGAACTTAATTTTCAAAAAGAAACACCTATTCATTGAAATCCCCAACCTTTTAATAAACTCTCTAGTATGCCATACTGGTGGAAAAGAATCTTTGAATGTGCTATTGTAGTTTCTGTTCAGATCGCGGCCGCTCAGAGAACAGCGGTAATTACCAACGATGACGCCATCGGGATTCAACATCGGAATCACCTTGAAGACGAACGTATCGCGAAGTAGCTTTGCATCCGGGGTATCGCTCGTGATGTAGTCCAGAAGGCCTTTCATTATCCAACTCGAGTTTGTTTCTCCAGGATGAACGCGGGCAGTCAAAACAACAGCACGTTTACGCTAAAATTTTAAAATATTTCAAACATTTAAAATCAAAAAGTGCAGAGTTATGTTTTTCAGTTACATTAAGCAGGCAATTATAAGATAGGCTACATCATAGAACTACAGAGTGCGTATGTAGAAAAAGTGTATCGAACTTTAATATACTTTAGTGCATTTAACATTGCGTTTTACGCCCATATTTCCATATAGCGAAAGAGAAGAACACTTAATTTTCCAAATGATGTATTTTTGTTTTTCATTACAATCAGAAATGAACGAGTACTCCACAAATAAAAATTGAAAGTCAAAATCGCATTTTTCTACCGCTGGGAACTGAATACGATCATTGAGGATTCACGAAAAATTCAAATTTCAATGCTGAAATTATTGTCAGCCGAAATGTATCGGGTAATTTAACTTTATGGCCATCTGTATTTTCGTTCTCAGCAGTTCCCTTAAGAACTACGCAAATGTCATTCACCATGATAAATACGCTGTTTAGAGCAATATTTAAGTTTGTAACGACAGCCAAGTCTTTGCTTCACGAAATGGTAGTTTTCATTTCATTCTCTATTTGGAATATCAAAGTACTTCCATTCTACAGATAGTCAGAATCATTTCTAAGGCATTTTGCCATCACAAGTCTTGTCATTGGTAAACTGGAGCCTATATTTATAGTTATAATTATCGACATAAGTATAAACCTTTGCCTCCATTGGACATTTCGATGGATTTGTGATCGTCATCAAATATATATTGTTTCCCGCCAAACTTCTCGTGAGGATTCTACGCTTACAATACGACGCCCGAAGTGGATCTTGGCATAGTTTACTAACGTACTCCTGTAAAACAAGACATTTAAAGTGTTATAATGAAACTTTTGGCGCTTAAATTATATTTTCATTGAACAGAACAATTGATGACTCCCCAAAACAGTTCCTGAATACTTTTCCTTTTCCTTTCAAGATATTGAGGGTTGCTTTAACGTCTGATTCACACAATGAGTGAAGTCAAGTTGCATAACAAGTCAGATTTTCCAAAAAGTCTGCCCAGTTAAAATAATATAATTGAAAATATGGTTGGTCAAAGGGGCTTTCACACTAACACTTTAAATCGATTCGAAAGAATTTTCGTAGCAAGCCCGCAAGTTTTGGTCGAGCTATGTAAATTTTATTAACATTAATTGTAAATATTATTAACATTATTAAATTCTTTAGAAATCTGTTGTTTTTACAGTGAGTGAACACAGAAAAATTAACATAGCAGGACCAAATTTGCGGGCTGCCTACGCTACTGATACGAGGTAATGTACGTAATAGACACTAAGAATGTCAAACAGGAGAATCTGCTTTTGTAATTTTAAAAAACGTATTTTAAATGTTGTTTGAGGCAAGTCGTTGGGTAATGATTGCCAAAAACCGACTTTAACCAAGCTAAAAGTAAGTTCACTGGTTGTCTTAAAGCACAAATTTCGGCTATTTCTTACTTGTAAAGTGGTGTACATATAAGGATAACAATGAGCAAAATGTAAATTTTCATACACGTGTAAATACATTGGTGTATCTATAAGGATGCTGATGAGAAAAATGCAAGTGTTCTTACCTGCAAAGTGGTGTATGTATAAGGATAACAATGAGCAAAATAGCAACGATCTCGAGAGTGTGGAAATACCACTGTCCAACTCAATGAAAACAAAGAATGTTCACCTTTGCCGTCTTCTCTTCTAAAAATATACATAATCAAAGAAAGTATGGAGAATTGCTCTTCCCAAAGAGTGACGTAGTAAGCCCACAAGTCATGCCTGTGTAGTTTCTAAGCAACAAAATAAATTGTAGTTAGCCTTGCACAGTCTACAGTCGTAGTGCAAAATCTACTTCAGTAATTTTTTTTTCATTCGAACCCATCTGCTCAAAAATTCTATTTGGTAAATATTGCAAAATGCTGTGGTAGAAAAACAAATGTTATATTTTTCATATGTGTTTATGTTGTTTTGCCGAGGTTTGCTTTTAGGTAGCGCGGCTAACTATGATCATAGAATGTCGTGCCGCAAGTTTGGTCGTTCTATAAAAATTTTCTATCGTTGTCATTATATATTTAAAAAATAGAAAACATTTCCGAGTTTCTATAGAGTTTCACAAACACGCTGGAAAGTTTGGGAAAAACGAGAAATTTCGTGACAAGCACGAACACGAAGAGCGAGTGTCTCAAAGCGATTTCGAACTTTTCCAAAACTTTCACAAGTGTTTCTATACTCAATAGAAACAAATAAATATGTTTCCTATTTCGTTTGTAAAATAGTGTAATAAAATATAAATACTATTTAAAGATAAATTTACTGATTTTTGTGGCATGTTTTTTATATTTTCGCCAGCGAGATTTATGCGAGACTGAAGTTCCCCAAAGCACAACACGGATTTTTCAAGCATTCGACCAATCAGCGCCCGCGATTTTAAAAGGGAGTTTGATAATTATTTTTATAGAGACTAAACAGCGAAACCTTTACATAGCACGAAGAAACATTGACGGTAACGCTAGTGGGAATTTTATATCTTATCATCGCCGCCCGGAGGTTTTTTTAATGAGTCAGAGTGCGTGAATGTGAGTGTTTATCTGTGAGCACTAAAACTCAATAAATACGTAAAATATTGATTACAAAAGTTTTGGGGTACAAAGTTTTTGAATTCAGATAAAGCAGAAATGAACAAAAATTTGTTTTGCTTTTTCTGAATGGGTAATTAGTTTGTGCATAATAACTATGTAGCCACGCATAGAACGTATGAATTTCATTTCATTTAGCAATAGAGGTATATACAGTCTCTGAGAGCCCTCTAGTTTAAACACTAAGAAACTGGGTTAAAAGTAGACCAGAGAAAACGTTCTTATACTAAGTCTTCATTGATGATATTGTAAAAATGATGGCTGATGTCTTACGTCAATTCATTCTTGTAATACTTGATGTTAGAACCAACACGCCTCCAACCGATACCTTTTGCTTGACGTTCTGAGTACATTAATGGCTTCATTCCCATACTGTAGAGGCTGCTGGACTAAAAAATATAACGAGAACATTCTTTACACTACGTATCTAAAATATATAAGAAATAAGATAACGTGTGTCAGTGTAGGTAGTGATGAATGGACAACAGAGAACGAGAACAGTCTTTACAAGAAATAAGATAACGTGTGTCAGTGTAGGTAGTGATGAATGAACAACAGAGAATAGTTGTCGCATACTTTCATTAAATTCATAATAGTGAATCTGTAAACTTTGCCAGGTTCGATATTTTCAACTCTGAAATAAAACCACTGTGTGTATTTCTCCGTGTACAAATCTGTACTCAGCCATAGTTGATAATCATAACGTCCACTGAAAAGCAACATAGGTAAGAACCGAATTTAGAACAAATCACAGAAAAAGATAAAGTGACTAGTAAAACGCAATGATATGAAACACTGAACTCAATACAACTGGATGGCTACTCTTCTCGCCAATATTTAAAGCCAGCAATACAACTAGTCTCGATTTCTTCAAGCACGGCCAAAGAAAGTTCTTCGCGACAGTAAGCTAGAATGCAGGGCTTTACCTTGTGACACGCAGGTCCGGGAAAAAAATCGCTTCACAAAAGTATAGGTAAGTTTACCCAAAGCTAGTTTTCCTGTTATATTATTGGTTCAATTGGTCGCTTAATGTAAGAGAAGCCAGCATCGGGAATCAAGCAAAATTTAAGCTTTGAAATGCAGAATCTACAAATATGGAATCGGAAATCCCAGCAGTGGGAATTTGACCTGTGCTGCAATTCAGAATGCAGCAAAGATCAAGATTTACCGCAAGTAATCTACGACTATAGAATTCGGATTCCGTGAGCTGCAATCCGAAATCCACGAAGTAGGATCTAGAATCTACGAGCTGGGATTCAGAATTCGACACCAAAATGTATTTATTTACATATGTCGAAATTGATAGGATAGACATCGCAATAGGCAAGGAACTTTTTAATTTTAACACTTTGTGTTGTTTCAGTTAACAATTGTGCAAGAAACGACAATGATGCACGATATTTCACGTAATTATTATGAAAGAAATTTGTTTATTAAAACCTGCACTTGTACTTTACTTGATCAAATTGCTATAGTTTCCATCGAAATTTTGTAATGCATTGTTTTACACCAGTGAATGAACGCAAAATATTTGCATGGGTCGAATTAAAAAATCGGATAATTGAAAAATCGTTGTTTGATACGTTTTAAAACTAACATTTTCATAGCTTTATGGAGGTTTCCACTCTCAAATCTTGACTCAAAAGAAAGTGATTCACGAGACGGAGCAACGGAGGATTCTGTGACTTTCTCCCACCACAACTTGACGATTGAAACTAGAATGGAAAATTCATCTAACATGACGTATTTGTACGTATGTAGTATAAAGTTAAGATATAACTACGTGTGTATGTAATTATGACGTCAGAATCTGTAGAAGTATAATTTTAGAATAAATATATACAAAATACAAACAATAAAATTATACTATCAGAGTTTGCATCATTAGCCTGTGCAAACTTATCTGAGCTAAATCAATCAATCAATCAAATAGAAATTGAAAATAAATCATGAATACATGTTAGAGGAAAAACTGAAACGTTTGTTTTAAATTTGTCTGTTTTGCGTTATTGTTATTTTATTAAAGAAATAAAAGATATTTTCGTGTTTGCACTGGCTTATGCAAACCTCAAAAACGTTTGCGAGAACACATGAGCAGGTGCAAACTCTCGACCTTTAGTTTCGAGCTTGCACTGATCTGCTCTTGATCTCGAGCTCTACCAAAGTTCTCATCGGTTTGCATAAATAAGTCTGAAACTGAAAATATAGGAGACATCTTTTATTTAGATGACGTAAGTACATACGTACGTATTTATACATGTGACCATAGCATATATCTAGGTATCTAACGGTGGGGTAAAATAATGCACATAATATAGTAAACATAACACACTAAAATCTTTTCAATTTTTTTTTTTTTTTGACCAGTGCCCCGCAACAAACAAAATCTCATGACCATTTTTAGGCATTTCAATGCGCTGACATTTTCTCCAAGACCTGTACTAAACTGTCAACGTGCGTCAAGAGGTAACGTAGAAAATCTCTTAGGGAGACCGTTTACTACAGGTTTAACTGTAATTTATGTAGGAGCTACATCTTGTTTGTTGCAGCTTTCTCTAAAGATACACAAGACTGTCAACAAACAGGAGAGAAATCTTACATATTTTGAATGTCCAAGAGAATTTTCAAACACAAGTTTGCCATCCTCTATTTTTGTCAAAAGAGGAAAACTTTCAGTATTCTTGCCTGAAAAGGAATAATTCTCTTTTAGATCTTAATTGGACTTAATTTGAGTAAAGTGGTCTTAATTTGAGTAAAGTGGTCTTAATTTGAGTAAAGTGGTCTTAATTTGAGTAAAGTGGTCTTAATTTGAGTAAAGAGAAAGTTGAAACTTAAGTTCTTATATACTCCAGTTTAGTATAGTGTCTTCATCATGAGTGATCTGATGTTAAAACTTGAGTCCTTATATACTCCAGTCTAGTGTCTTCATCAGGAGTGATCTGATGTTGAAACTTGAGTCCTTATATACTCTAGTCTAGTGTCTTCATCATGAGTGATCTGATGTTAAAACTTGAGTCCTTATATACTCCAGTCTAGTGTCTTTATCAGGGGTGATCTGATGTTGAAACTTGAGTCGTTATATACTCCAGTCTAGTGTCTTCATCAGGAGTGATCTGATGTTGAAACTTGAGTTGTTATATACTTCAGTCTAGTGTCTTCATCAGGAGTTATCTGAAGTCATCCTTTAATCCAGATAATGATGACATTAAACTAACCCAATTTTACCTGTCTCACAATAAAATCTTTCTGGTGTCTGTGGTGGGTTGTCAAGATGGTATGGACGCTCCTCAATAACTTTCAACATACTTGGCCTGGCATCAATAAACAAGATATTTATGTGTATTGTTTTCAATTTATGACAAAAATGTTTCATCAAACTTACCATCTCGGTGTATTGATATCATATTTATATTTTTTAGCAGGCACATACAAATTTCTTGGCTCTCGCAACTTTGAAACCTGCAACATAATCAAAACTTATAAATGAACACTAGAACTATAAAGAACATGAACAAAAACAAAAATCCAGTCACTGTGTAAATTTTATAAGTTTTCATTTATGATAGCATGAATGCATGGAATTGGAAAAACTTTGGTTAGACTGAAAAATAAACAGACAACACATGATGACAAGGCTATTATTGATGTAAATGTGCAATTCTCATTACTTTCATTATTCTTCAACTTGGTTGACTCATAAATTAAATATTTCTAATAATAAAACAATAGCCTGTTCACTGATAAGGAAGTTATGAAAACAAGTTAAACTGAAGCTAAATACTTCAAACAAAGTTATAAAAAATTTACTTTTTTTCCTTCTCGGAAACTGACGACAAGCTGTGTGGTTCTGCTGAAACTGTTGGACACTTTCCAGCCTGGAATGAAACTACATGTATTACAACTGATTCAAGTTTAAATCCAATAATAGTCCACCAGTGATGAAGACACTAGACTGGAGTATATAAGGACTCAAGTTATAACATCATATCACTTCTGATGAAGACACTAGACAGGAGTATAGGTATAAGAACTCAAATTTCAACATTAGATCACACCTAATGAAGACATTAGACTGGAGTATATAAGAACTCAACTGGATTGGTTTTAAAAACATACCGGGAAACTGCACACTTTTCCCAAATGAAAATCGTTTTCCAGAATGCATGCCCTTTTTTATATCATGCTGTTGTGCAAGTTTTTCAACTCCAGTTTCCATGGCTGCCATCAAGCGGTCATAGTTTGCGATTTCTTCCCTGTCGACCATGCAAATCTACGCTTTGTAATTCGTATAGGATACGTCGTTCAAAATATGCTTGTTTATACGACATTCTGAAGATAAGAACACAAATACTGGACTATGGCTGATCTTCAAAATATATTCTAAAAAAGGTAATAAAAAATAGCAACAGGTGAAGTCCCAATACACGCCACCTGTAGTGTAGACTGTGTAGTTAGAAATTTGCACAAATTAATACCGTAAACATTCTTGAAAGATGCAGTGTTGATCTAACAGGATTTAGGAAGGATTAAGAATTGGAAATTTGCATTAAGATATTGGTATACCATTAGCATTTGGTAAACAGTCGATTGTCACCTTTTCAATGCAATTGACACAGCAAACACAAGTATTCATAATGAAATCGCCATTTTTGAATTGAGAGTGGTTCAAAGGTCAATGAGGGTGTTTGTGGGGTAAAAGGTGCTCGAATTGCAAGAAAGAGTTTGAGGAAATGACTTTGATTTTAGTTTTTTAGTTTCTGCAACAAAAGCTGTTTGCACATTTGCAATATTTCTGTAAGTAGTTGTATCGAATGAGTAAAATTCAAAAACTTCTTAAAAAAGCAACAGGCAAAAGCCATCATCAAGAACCATTGCACCTTATAATTTTATTTGTGTGGTAATGGTGGATAAATACGATAAAGTCAGGATAACATAAAGTGAACTTTTCATGATAGATGTAAAAATACGAAAATTTTGCTTTACTCTGATTGGTTATTTTGTGTGACGAAACCAAAACAATAAACAAATAAACGTTTTTGTCAGTTCATTTTTTTAAAACAGAAAAAGGTAAATTTCACTAACTTCAAAACTTTAGTAGCTTTTGAAACGCCGAGCTAAACTGTATAACATTAAGGAGTGTAGCCTTGGATATCTGTCAGCAATTGTGAATAATATACTGTTTTACAAGACTGAAAATAATGCTTATGAACAATTCAGGAGACCCTGTACACAATTCTTTCAAAGTTTCCGATAAGATCACTGAGCAGCATCGATATATACCACGACAATGGACGCAGGAAGAATTTGAGGCAGCTTTACCAGAAAGATTCAAAACGAAGCAAATGATTAAAAATGCAGTAAAGCTGGTTCAAGATGAGGACGCAAATGCGCAAGATTTATGCATGACTAAATCTGCAATATCATTCAACAAGAGCAGAAAAATAGAAAATGAAAAGATTCGGTCGCTGAGAGCATTGTTTGAAAGCGAAGGAGGAAATTTAGAACATTTCCGAAAAGGTGATGCTGAAGACCCCAATGTTAAGACTAATCGTCAACAAAATACCACTCAAATTGAAGAACTTGAACGCTGTAAGAATGGCGAAGTTAAAGTCAAAATGAATCAAGCCGATTTGGTTAAACTTAATGACAAAGAAAAGGATGAAAGCACGTCGACCAGTTCTTCTTGTAAAACACTCCAAACTGAATGTCAAGATTTCAATTCATTTTTCGAAAGCGTTTTACAATGTCTTTTGAGCATTCGTTCCTTCGTGGAAGTACTCTCAAGTTTTTCCGATGCTAATCCAATCATATATGAGTTTAAAAAAGTAATAAAATCTATTGAAAATCACCACAAACCAGAGTTTGAAAAATGCGTCGCCAACTTTAGTGAGAAATTATCGGAATACCAGAGCTCTGACGAACTTTTGCTGATATTAAAATTACTAATTGATACACTGAGAGAAAGCGATGAGATTGATGAAAACAGAATACGTCGCCTATTTCAAGGCAAATTTTGTCATACTCAAACGTGTTTCATTTGCAAAAAGATTACCACAATACTGGAACCGTTCTTCTGTCTTAATCCTGATAATAAAACAGCTGAAACTGACATCGGACAAAGTGATAGTTTAATGGTGAGCTTCCAATGCTGCAATTATAACGGCAGCTGGCAAATTGAGACAATAACGCTTCCGAAAAAATCTGGAATTACCGCCGCTGAACTTATTGAAGAGATTTTAAAGCATCCCGAATTTTTCAATTGTGAACGCGATGATATTCGTATCGGCCTCGTACGCAATGGTTGTATTGTCAGCTTGCTTGACAACAGTAAAAATATTTTTTCGATTCAAGAAACAGACTTATTTGCGTTCAACGTTTTGAAATTTGGTGATGGAATCTTGGGATTTGAAAATTCGTCTGACAGCATGGGTAAGTCGATGCGTTTCCTTAGATATAAACTGAAAATGCATGAAAAAAATATCGACAAACATATTTTTTGTCCATTTTCCGTCATGAAAAATTCCTATGTAGGAAAGTTTGATGTAATCATAATTGCTCGTAAATGTTCAACAGGGAAAGTACAAAATGGAAAATTGGGAAGCAATGCACCCACACCACTCCCCTCTCCCTAGACAAATATAGCTAATGTGTGCCGTTAACAGAGTACTGTAAAAAGAAATGAGATCAAAATTACGGATGTTTCAGCGTCCCAAACTAATAGAAATGCTCTGTGTTTCCTGTTTAACAAACAATTGGCGAGACCTTGCTGTACAGAATAATGATTGCTATAATATAAGATCAGTGTTGTAGAACTAAATTTATCAGAGAGGCGGCTCTCTTGACGTTTTTGTTAATAGTGCCCTTTTAAAATTACCAATTTCAAAAGTAGAAGGGGGCTCCTCCACCAAGCGCCCCCCCCCCACTTCTACACCACTGTATAAGATATGTACAGAACAGTTGTAAAAATGACTACCTCACAAGCAAAAATATGTTGTAATCCAAGCAATCTCTATTTTTGACCATTCAGATAAACGCAAACTAAAAGTTTCAGCAAATATGTCACATCTTTTTCATTTCAACTGTGGTTTATGCCTAAGTGACGGTCGACCGTTTAGTCTGTTCATGCACAAGAGCTGTGGAGCCATGTTGTGCACCGACTGCTTACGTGTCATCACGCATGCGTATCAGAGTTGGGAGATGTGTAGATGTCCAATGTGTGAACAACCGATCGACATCAATAATGATTTAACAACTAAAAAACCAAGTGAAATTGAGTCATCGAGGATAACGTGCTCCACGAACGATCGATATTGTGATGTTCTTTGTCAAATTATGTTCCGAGCTAACTCACAGGAAAATACAAGTAATGATACGTTATTGAAACTTAAGTCTTTACGTACACCTGTCTAGTGTCTTCATCAGAAGTGATCTGATGTTGAAACTTCAGTTCTTATATTCTCCAGTCTAGTGTCTTCATCAGGAGCGATCTGATGTTGAAACTTCAGTTCTTATATTCTCCAGTCTAGTGTCTTCATCAGGGTGATCTGATGTTGAAACTTGAGTACTTATATACTCCAGTCTAGTGTCTTCATCAAGAGGGATCTGATGTTGAAACTCTAACTCATATATTTAAAGACATAAAAAAAACATAACTTTTTCCCTTCTTTCATAAAGGTTTGGAGTTATTTGGTACTCCTTTGATAACATTAATTCCAGAAGTAGTAAATGGTCAACATCTATATCGTTCTATTGGTTATATCTTACCTGATGCTTTACCCAGCAAGGAAAGAACATCATTTACCTTACATACAGTCAATAAATCCGGCATCCGTTGTTCTCAATGTGAAAAACCATCCTGTCGAGGATGTCTAGTCCGCATGGGTGATCACGTGTGCATCGAGCACGATAGCACGTGCTTGGTTGTGCATTTCGATGATATCAACAAAGATTCCAAAAGGCTTTTTGGTATACCAAATGACGTTGCAAACGGCAGCAGAAACTCACAAGGTACAAAGTAGCAAACTCATTAATTTGAGGGGAATATTCATATGATCATTTTAAAATTTTCTTTTGCAGACTTCTTCAACAAAATTCTTCATTCATGCGTGCGTAAAGCAACCGAACAAAAGATGGCATGTGTTGAATGTCAGGCGTTGGAGTGTCAGGTATAGTATTGAATTGACTTCCCAAACCTAAAACACACATTATTTTTTACATATTGGTGAACATGTTTTAGTGGTGAATCATTTTATATTGCAAAATAGAAACAATACAACGCGTGCGCTGATTGGTCTATACCACAGAATAGGAAATGAACAAAAAGCCAACTCAGGGGTGCAATGTGTCCCAGATTTTTTATGCGCTTACGTCAGATCCGCCATTACTCTGACAAGTACTGCGGTTGCTGGCTACTATAAATTATACAGTACAAGGGAATATTTGTGTAAGTAAATCACGCTTTTAAAAACAAATTGGCAGTATTTACAATATATTTTGAAGTTCTGATCATTATAACGCAGATTTCAAAAGCAAACCTTCACAATGTGTAAATTCATGTTCTCGCACAACACAATTATGTACAAATTCCTTTGCCAGTACTTGCCAGAGTAATGGCGGCCGTCAAATTTATAGCATGTGCAATGGGCCATGCGCGAGGACACTGACTTCAAAGGCTCCGACACCAAGTTGGCGTTCTGTTCATTTCCTATTCTGTGTCTATACCTGAGTTTGCGTTAACCTGTGAAAACCGAAAAGAGCTAAATCAATCAATAAAAATTTGCAAATCAATCATGAGTACGTGTTGTAGAACAAAATCAAACAATTTTTTTAAATTTATTTGTTTCGTATTGTTAGTTTATAAAAGAGCTAAAAGATGTTTTTCGTGTTTGCATTGATTTATGAAAACCTAGGAGACATTTGTGAGAACTCTCGAGCAGGTGCAGTTTTTATACTTTTGACCTTCGCTTTCAGGCAGGCAACCATCTTCTCTCGAGTTCTCCCAAAAGTATCCTTGATTTGCATAAACATGTATTATTTCTTAAATGAAATCCATGATAATCCTCATACATCTCTAGCATCGATGGATATCATTGCCTTGCATGTTTCCAAGTGTACATAAAAAATGAAAATCGCTGCAATGTTCTTGTTTTAGATGTCATCGTCGATTGAAGAATTTCCGGAAATACTTTTCATTCATCTGAACGCATTTTATGCAAATGAAGGTCAATTTGGCAAAACCACCGTTGCTGACATATCAAGGTATATTGATTATCTTTGTATATAACTGTAAAACTTTAGCTTGGCCGGTCATCTAGACAGATCACTTCGTCCAAAATCTGCAGCCAACTCAAAGTTCAAAAACAAATTTTAAATCATAATCTCCGGATGTGCGAGCAAAAAATGGTTTGACCAGCAAGCATCCTGTCGTTTGATTAGATCCCGGTTGTACAAAGAAGTATAAAACAAAACACACTCCAGAAAACATCATCTTGTAAACTCAAGATTCAAGTTATGTTTGAATCTTGTCTCTTGCTAACCTGACTCAAATCTTTATCCTATCCTAAATTATTTGCTTAAGGTTCTTGGTGTTACAACACAAAAGAAATTCAGAAATAAGAAATAGAGAGAAGCAACTGTGTTATCAATTAAAAGCGGC